ACTCATGTTTCTTTGGTTTTGCTAAGTCCTATATGGTGTGAGGACTGAATCACTGAATCTAAAAATGGTCAGATTTACTACTCTTTTTCTTATGTGGAACATTATTTTTCAACCACAAGTAGTTTGGGATTTTTTTTTTTCAGATGAGAAGAATTGAAAATTTGAAATGCAAGGAAAAAAACCAGACTCTAAACATACCATTCTGAAATCAGTGGAAGTTCTGCACTTTATCAATAGACAGACTGTATTTCTGCTTCGGACACATTAGGTTTTAACTCATTTTTCATTTTGAAAACTTAGACCTATTATCAGCATACAGAGAAGAGAGGTTTTTCTCTTTGTTCATTAGTGATCGTATTTTTCCTATATTTATTTATTTAAAAGATGTCCTATATTTATTTTATTTAAAAGATTTCTAAAAAGTCTATGTGATGAAACTGTGATGTTTATTGTATTAAAAACTAGGAGACAGTGTATTATGCACTGATTATAATGTAAACTTCAAGTGTGAATGGGACAAATCGTTATGTCAAAAGTTGACTTGGGTAAAAAATTAGGGGTTTGTTCTTATACATAACATACATTTACAATATATATATATATGCATACAAAAGGAGTATTTTTGAAATCTATGAGTGATGATTTTTGAGTTTATACCCTTTAGTGATTTCATGCAATACGTGCTTTAATCAAATGAAAATTTCTTTACTTGCATAAAAATATATATGCTAAACATTTCTGAATACAGTCAAGAAACTTACAGGTGACCTTTGAAAAAGAATCATTGTATGATTTGCCTTTGTATTGTTCAGAATTCCCAACAACTATATGTTGTGCTTCAATGCCCAGACCTCCAAGGCAGTACACCTCTTGGTTTTTATTGCTGCCATGTTTCTTCAAAGGATTCAGTATTTATTCATGTGTGGCATTTCTCTGTTCATTTTTTGAACAAAAATAGCTCAGTTTGATGAGTGTCAGATGTAGAGTGGTTATTTCCATAGTAAGTTTAAAAACAAATCTGTTTCTAACAATAGATACTGTTTTCTATAGTTTAGATAATTGATGCAGCATGCACTAATGCATTTTTTTTAAAATTGTAAGAGGATTTTTCACCTAAAGACAGAAGGAAAAAACATTTATTCTTTATATTTAAAACTCTAAAATCAAACACGGTATATATTATGACTGGACATCTCTGGATTTCTTAATCAATTTTGGGAAGAACATGCACCAATCTCATGTGGGTGACAAGAATATTCCTTATAAGAGGTTTGTTGAACTGGGGCATTATTTAAGTTACCTCATCCAGGAAATCATAGAAAATTAAGCTTGAATATACTTCACTTGCCAGATGTTATCAATGCCATGATGGCCCTGCATGTTTCTCCTGGGAAGCCAACTTTATGTCTGTTCACTTTACAGACTGTGGTTCATTCAAGCAATGTCTAGCCTACCAGCTGATATGTAACATTTCAGACCCAGCAATGCTGGCAATTTCTATAGATGTATCTAGAAAAGAAGTTGGTTGGACAGAGGTATAATTTAAATTAAAAATTTTCTGGTTTTCAAATCGTGTTCTGTATAAAGTCAGAGTTGGTCATCAATATTCAGGATGCAGCCATAGGTAAGAGTTCATCTGCATACATAGAGCACATTTGGCCTTTGCCTCTAAATGTGGATATGACTGCAGCTACTTGCCACTTCCATTGTGAGTTTAAGTTGAGGTTTTTTTATTTTTATTTGAGGATAAGCTATCAATCCATGGTCTGAAATTGTCTTCATAGTCATTGGGTAAGGAGGATTTACCACTGCATTTCATTCTTGATCAGTTCAAAGCATAACTTGATTTAAACAATTAGCTATTAGCCCAGTCACAAATATTCACCTTCTCTCATTTCTCACTACTGAGAAGTAGTGCTGTGATCATTGTTATTAAACTCGCACAATTTAAGAAGGTTTTAGGTGAGGTTTTGTTTGTGAAGAGAAATCCTTCCTTTGGAACTAGTTCCAGTCTTTTGCCCTACAAGTTTTATAGCTTTCAGAATATCCTAAAGCAATAATTTTTTCTGTTTAACTTTGCAGACCTATAAAGAAGCAAAGCAGTCAGAGTATAGATGTAAATTTAATTTTTCAGGCAAAACCATTTTGTGGATTGTTTAGAGATTATTTATGCAAATGGGGGTAATATATTTTTTAAGTTTCATTATTATTACAGGACTCTGCAAAACAAATCCATATAAACTCTAAATAAAGAGAAAATCAGGACTCAGTAATTATTATGTATCATCAAATTATTGAAATGCTGGCCAATTTAACTTCACTAGAAGTGCTCACATTTGGTAACTACAGTATTCCATTCTTGCTGAATAATATAGATTCCTTTCTTTTAACAGGAGTCTCCTAAAATAAATTCAAGACCCTTTAGAAATGTTGCAAATAAAATCTCACGTTTAGTTGTTGCCAGGAAGCTGATTGATGTATCTGTATGGTGAGACCATGCAAAGCTTCTTAGCATACCTTCTTGAAGTAGATAACTATAAAAGAAGCAAAAATAAACCTTGTTCTTCCATTTTTAATCTCTGAATGACCCTTCCCTTAGTAATTCTCTCAGCTTCTTTGGCTCCTAGCTTTACATTCATCTTAGCAACAGCTGTATTCAAATCATATTCTTTGTCTACATGAATATGCTATTATGTTCCTGGTCCTGTGCAACAGTATATATACCCAGAAAGAGGTGCATTGTGTCATTTCAGTGTGCAAACATGGGAGGAACTTAGGTCTTTAGTGCACTGTATGATGCAGAATTCGAACTGCTGTGTAGAAGAGCAGCACTACTGCTTAATGCTTGTACAGTGACTCAGTGATAATTAGATACTGCTAGAGAGACTAGCTGTTTTCAGGTTTAAGCCAAGTTGGAGCTAGTTGAGCTGCAGTGGCAACAGAGTGAACTTGGCAAACAACATTTTCAAGTTTTCATTTCATTTATTAAATCTGTCACATTTCTGATACTACCTTACAGGTGAAATTACTTTTACTTACGGGACATAAATGAATTGTCAATCACATTTACAAGTTGTTTGCCTGTAAAAGTTGATGAAAAACTTTCTATTCATCAGTGATGAACTTCACATTATAAATATCTGAAGGAGTTTTCTGTCATAATATTCTAGAGTATCAAGAGTCATAATATTACAGAATATTTGTTCCATATTGATATAATAGCTGCACGTGGTTTAGCATAGTGCTTTTACTGCATTAGAATGTTAGTTGACCATATATGCAGAAATAACCTCAATTTCTGAATCTTCAGCTCACTAAAAACTGTCTGAAAAACTATATTAAATTGAGTCTTGCAAACCTCACTCCTACTTGAATGTAAAACCAGAAAAGGCAGATGGACAGCAACCTTAGAATTCAAAATTCTAAAAATTAAACTCAAAGTTAAAATCTCCATGTGAGGTCATATAAATATGAAATTAAATACATGTGGCCAGAGAGGAACAAAGAAGGCTTATCTCCCTGTCCATCTGCCTGGACTGTAAGTACATGAATGACTGGGAAGATCATATCCTAAGAACTGTTCTTGCAAAACAACTCACCGGGGACCCGACCATAACCATGTGGATTGTGAAATGTTTGTTGCTCTTGCATCAGTGGTGGTATTATGATGTAGAGTTTGGTTTTTTGTATTGTATGAGAAAGTATTAGAAAGCCAGTCACATCTTTTTTTTGGGTTAGTGAAAACCCATTTTCTCCATCTTCAGTTATTGATTGATAGAAAATGGTGAGTCCATGTCTTTGTCTGGATGAGGTGCTGAAAGTTCCATGTGATTGACAACATAATTGGCAAGAGAAAAAAAAGAGATGGAGAGTGAAAAAGAAACTGAAAGATGCCAGAAATAAAGTAAAAAACAGGACAGGGTGAAACTGATTGTTTTAAAACCATTCAGTAAAGTGGAGAAGGAATAAACGGTTTTCATTTGCATTATTTGTATCGTATCCTTTTCTATGAACAATTTTCAATCTGAATATTGAGTGTGCCATATTAATTATTTGATGTTTCATTCTCTTAAGATGAACTGAGGTCTCAGCTAGGTCTTTCCTGAGAGCCAGTAAACCCTTTAAGTCATGGAGTACCTTATGTACTTTTAAGTGTTACTTCAGTTAACAGTTACACAGTTTACTTTTTTAAAAAGTCACCAAAATCAGACTTAAAACATAACAAAATATAAACAAAGTATATCTTTCTGGCCTCTTCTGCTCCATATTCCAATGGGAAGGCCTTCCAAATAAATAATGTAAAATGCAGGGGGTTTCCAAGGCCCTGGGCAAAGGTTGAGCCTGTGATTCATTAGGCAACATTATAAAATAACAGACCAGAGTCTCCCCCCACTCAGAGGTGACCTGAACTCCTCCATGTCACACTCTTTTCTGTCTTCATCCATGGCTCCTGTGGAGCACCTGACTCCACCGTGACCCTTCTGCCACATCCTGCCTTCATCATGCGGAGGGTGGGAATGTCTGGGACAGGCCTCGTAGCATATTTGTCCAAAGGGCTCCATTTGTCAAGTTCAGAAGAATTAGTGTCCAAATTGTGTAATGTGCCTAGTACGCTTTACTCCTGCCAATTTTGGAAGGATATAAAGGAGCTCACTACTTTCTAAGACTCTGAGCCCACATGAAGAAAGTTTCAGGGCTATTGACAAAGGAATTTCTACTCTTGATGGCAGAGAAAAAAAAGAACAGTATGTCATATGGCAGCCACAAAATTATACTATGAAGAAAACTTGATTTTTTTTTTCTGTAGAAGAGTTTTTACAATGTTTTAATACAGCCATGATGATGAATTCTTTTCCCAGTCCAATGCACTGTTTATCCTATTTTTATGCTCCTGCCCACAGCCTATTCTTTCCTTTTTCAAAACAGTCCATGAAAATACCTTTTTCTGGCAACGGGCAGAAGGCATGGCCTTTTAACTATATGTTTTTATATGTCTACAGATGCAGCAGCTTGAGAAACAAGTTATAGATGCTGATCGTCAAGCAGAGAGAGCATTTCAGCAGGTATATATATTGTAAAATATCACTAGCTAATGTGTGTGATACTGTGTGCATGAAGTGAAATTCAGAAAATTGCTATTTCTTCTCAAAAAGGAGAAGACAGTTTCTTTTATGTCTGTTGATTTGTCTTAACAGAGACTTTCTAACACCTTTCTTTGTTTGCTGTCCAGTTCAGGTCAATAAAGTCAAAGCTAACATCACAAATCAAAAACAGATACATGTAATGAGCTTCTTCATTGATGCATCATGAGACTTTGATATGTCTGCACATGGAAAACAGTGACCTATTCTAGATGATCTGTAAGAAAATAAAACAAGGATATCCAGTACAGGTTCTAAATAGGACTATTCTATGTTGTTTGTTCCTCTTGTAGAAATTACATCATCTAAAGAATGAGATCATGGCTAAATATTTAACCAAAGTTGCTTTCCAATTCCAAATGGCAGATATATCTAGTGTAGACATTTTATGAATATATCTCTGGTATTCCCAAAACATTCTTCATATCTTACTCTGAGACAGATAGAAACTGAAAATTTTAAGAATAAAAATGTTCATGTACTAATTTGGAGTTAGAAAACATTCCTGACTACAAGCCAAGTACTTTTAAGCCATTTTTTAGAATGCTGCTGATAACCTGCTGGGTTTTTTTATAGTGTGCAATTGTTTATTTATTAAAACATTGTTTATGAAGCCTAACTACAGCTCCCTGTAGATAAATTGCATTCTTCCCATATTGGCATTCTAAAAGTGTGTGTTACAAAACTAGAAGCCTCTTAACAAAATCTGTATAAGGTCTTCCGGTGTTTTGCCAGTCCTGTTGGTATTAGATGCATAGGGAGACATAATGAACTGTTGAATTTCTTCTCAAATAAGCTTCAAAACATTGCAGGGTTATCTTGAATCTGAGTGTGGAGGCAATTTTAGCGGTGTGTTTTGTGTTTAGGTTACTATCTTTGACTTGGAGTATTATGTTTCTTAAACTTTATATTTGACTTTCCAAATAGGTGCAGGTCATGGAAGAAAAATTAAAAGCAGCAAATGTTCAAACGAGTGAATCAGAAACCAGGCTGTATAAGAGATGTCAAGATCTGGAGATCCTGATACAAGATAAAAATGACATAATACAAAAATTGGAAAAACAGCTTGAAGAACAGGTTAGAAATAATGGTGTTACAAAAGAGGAACATCAATTCCATTCTTAATTACACAAAAGGAAAGTAAAATTTAAGATCAATAGAGGACAGAAAAGTTTAACATAATTTCTGTTGTTTGACTAAAGAGGTTCCCATGAGAAGTATATAATTTGAATAATGTTTATTTATTTGGAAATTGTGCTCTGGCTTCCTTTGAAAGAACATCTAACTTTTAAGAGGGGAAAGAGGTTCTTCCTCTTCACTGTGTCCCCTGAAGAACTTTCATTTTTCCTAGAGGAAAGAGGAACATGAGCCTCTGTGAAGGCCCTGTTCCTTATTTTTTGAAAATTGTTGTTGCAATTTTGCATATTGCCCATGAGCCTGAATTACTGCAAGCAATCTTAGGATTTGTGTCTGAAGATACTACTCAGGCAGACTATATTACTCAGTGAAAAATACGCTTTTGTCAATTTTTTTCCAGAAGCAAATAAGACTGCAAGAAGCAAAAATCATAGAAGAAAAAGCAGCTAAAATAAAAGAATGGGTGACAGTCAAGCTCCATGAGGTATAACTCTTGCTACAATACTTACACAGAAAATATAATGGTGTGACTGGATATCCTTTAGACTTTTTGTTGTGAAAGGCCTTTGTGCCGTAGTAAAATAGAAAAGCTTCCCAGTTTCATTGACCTATACGGTTATTTGCTTGAAAGGGGAAAATTAAAACAATGGCACAGAGACTAAAGGTCCATGTCACTTAAACTCTGATGTCTGATTTGGTCAGCTAGTATGTCTGGGTCTTCTTTATGGAGAAAGGGCCCAGAACTGCTCTCTGGAAGGTCAACTTCTCCACTAATTGAGAGAGCTTAGCTGGCAAACTTGAGCTTGCTCAAGCAGATGCCTGAAGTGTGAATAATCCCCAGAAAGCCGACCAGCTCTGCTGGGACCTGGCAGAAAAAAAGGACTCAATCATTTTTTTTATTTCACAATGCCCACAGTACTCTTAGTCATGAACAGTTTCAGAGGCACCAGCTCTAGTCTCAAGAGACCTGTTGTGTCCCTTTTTTCTCTGCTGTGGTAAGATAACCATGTCTTAGCCCTGCCTAAGGCTGTCAGTTTTGGTGTGCAGCTGTGCTTTCTCCTCCCTGTGTATAGAATTTAAAGTTGCCCATAAAAGTTAAAATCCTACTCTGTTGTGGTTAACTGGAAGTTATACTCACTCTAGTTGAAAAAACAATTGAATTATTGCTTTCATAGTAAGAAAATAGAAGTAACATTTACTTTTAGCCTGTGAGAGGAGTTTTTGAAATAACTTAATAAAAATGCCATTACATTTAGCTAAAATTACCTTGAAAAAGTTTGGACAAAATCAAGTATGATTCAAACTATTTACTTAGTTTGAAACATGGAGAATCTCAAGCTAGTTTCACATATGTGACTGTCACTCAGTGGGAAGTAGAATTGATGGTTCCCCTCTGTGTCATACGGGATACTGAGATTCAAGTCCCTGCCTAATTTGAAGCAGGAGTTTGAATCAACATCTTTTACCTCCCAGTAGTGGTCTGCAGCAATGCATTGTTGGTTTTAAATTCCTTTAGAAAGACTTTTGCTCTGCTCTGTATAAAGTTTGTTGGCACTTTTTTTTTTTTTTTAAATTTTTGCTGTGGGACGGTAGGAGGCATTAGAACCATCGTTCCCTCTAATTCCTTTGCTTGCTCTTGGGTTTGCCAAGTGGCACAGAAGTTTGCAATTCTAGCCCTCTGCTTTTATTAAAAATTCCAGTGCAGATTTTTGTCTTATTTATTAAGGATTTTTAAAGGAGTCTTGGGTTTGCTTGGTTGTGGGAATGATTTTAACAGAAGTTGAGCAAATAATCATTGCAGGGAATTTCATTGTTTGGAATAAACAAATGCCTAGACTGGCATTAAGAGAAGTAGCAGAGAGGAGGTTACTATTTGAACTAGTTCTGTCCTGACATAGGCAGAAATTCAGAGAAAATCTAAACAATGTAATGACTTTAAAAATTGTTTCACTGATGGATGAGATTACATTTATGTGCTTTTAGTTAGAGGTGGAAAATCAGAACCTTCGCTTGATCAACCAAAAGCAAACCAAAGAGATGAAAACTGTACAATCTAAACTGCAAGGTAAATGTACAAATCTTTTAAAAACTTCTCTCTACATGGCATACTTCTTTCTATTCCCTGTTAATCTGTGCATCTACATGACTGAAGATATTCTGTGAAAACACAAAGATTTTAGATGCTATGAATTGACATGACGAAGGGTGTTAGGAAGGAATAATTAAAGTTTTTATTGAAAAGACACACAGACAAGCCCCAATTGTTTTTTGTTGGGTGAACGGATATCTCTGTAATTTAAGAGGTTGTGCAAGTAGTAAGATTTTACTGGATTAATGACAGATCTTTGCTTTCACTTCTTCATAGCTAGGTGGTCTTATCACTGTTAAGGAATATATGAATGTCAGTCTGCACCTGCTTTTCCTAGCAAATGGTCAATTGGGAATCAGAACTAATCACATTCTTCTAATTACTATATTTGATTACAGTGACCCAAAATCTTAATTCAGCCACAGTATTACCAGGTTTCTCCTCAAGTAGATATAGTAAATTTAAAAAATTATAAAATGCAAACAGAAGAAAGAGAAATATCCCCTCCACAGAGCATTATTTCAGATTGAATCAGAGTTTAGAGTTGAATTTTATTTGCCACCATGTTGCCTCTTCACCAACTTTCTTAAGTCTGTCTGAAGGTTCACACAGGCCTCTCCGTACTTGATTGATTGACAATTTACTATAATCTGAAAATTTTGTTAGTTTGCTCTCATCTCTTGATAATATATCTCATATATACATGTAAATACACAGATATTTAGAAACGTGTGCAGATATGTGTGTGTATGCACACATACTATGCATAATATATGAAAATTTAAATATTTATAAAATACATACATATACAATATGAAGCTTTTAAATTAAGTTGCACCTTTCTTTTAATGGATAACCTAGACTGTTTTGCTTCTTTGTTATTTTGTGGATCAGTAGCAATTCTGTACACTTCAGCACTTTACAACTACAGTCATTCTCTTCTGAGAGATCTATTCAAAGGCTTTTTGAGTCGCTAAGAAATTGTCAGCTGGTTTTCAACATGCAGTTACAGAACAGTTACTCAAAAATATTAAGAAATTTATTGCTATTTGCAATGTCCATGCAGGTGACAGGCTATAAATTATATACTGTTTTAAGCAGTTTACAGGTAGTGTAAGGGCCTTTTGTTCCTGGATCTGCCACAGGGATTTTTATGAGCAGGAATGGACGGCGTTGTTTAATATCAGTTTCTGGCAGAATAGATGTCCCTAAGGACAGATTTCATTTTTTTGAGACAGTTCACCAATTTATGCTTTCACTGTCTCTCGAACATTTCCTCCACGTTTCCTTCTAAGCCTAGGAACTTACTCTTACATATTTGCTGTAGCACCTATTACAGATTCTCTTAATATTTTAATCTAAAGGGAAGGCCATCACATATCTTAATACTGTTGTTCTACAGTCTTTTCCAAATTAGATATCCCAGAACAACCCATAGGTTTAATTTCAGTCATAGGAGAATAAAATCAGGTATTTCCACTACGTTTTCATTCTGTATCAAGTGCGTGTTTTATATCTTAACACTGTGGAATTGTTAGTTGTTTTTTTTTCTTCCTATGTTAAAATCAAATTTTAAGAACTAGAAATGTAGCTCTGGGTTTCTTTTGATATGGGGAGTTATCAGATATATTTTTATTCCTATAGTAAATTTTTATTACCTTTTTTACTAAATTCTAGTTACCTTAAAACAACTTTACACTGCAAAGAGAGCAGTAGAATAGCTTGTTGTATCCCATTAACACGAGACTTCTGAATTACTGTTCTTCAGAGGCTACTGGCAAGAAATCTGTTACTTCAACACAAAAACCTGGAGAGTGTCAGCGACTAAGTGGTTTGACTTTTGGATGCTTTTCAAATAGAGCAAGAAGTCCTCAACCATCTTCTAAGTTTGAAGACATAAGCAAGTCTTCGGCTAAAGAGCCAGACTACACTGAAGGCAAAAACATGCCAGGTACCTCGTCACCAATCTGCCATTTTATTCTGACACAAATGGAACACTGAAATCTGCAACTATGTCAGTGTATCCAAACCAGCTGTTTTCAAAGTGCCTAACAGCACTCTCTCCTTCTTCAGTGCTACCCTTCTATTACTAGGAAGAAATCCTGTTGAGCACTAGAGTCTTTGTAATGCCACTGATACATTATTTGGCAGCACACAGTGACTGATGGGTGCTTTGGCTGCAAAGGGAAGACTTTGTCTTGGCTCAGGTTTGCACTGTAGTAGCATAAGGAGTTTATGGCTGCCAGTCCCCCAGGCAGAGCTGTTATGTGTTTATGCCTGGGCAGGGCAGAGTCTCACCTAAATCCAGTTTCTGTATGTTTTTGCTATGCTATCACTGCTGTCACAGTGTTCGTTTTATGCCCTGACTCAATAAGGTCAACTCAGTAATTTTTCAGCAGTGTGATGAAGGTCAGAAGAAACTGAAGAGAGCAGCAGGGTTTCCTGTCCGAAGAAGGAGATCAGTTCACACAATTTCCCTGGCAAGCCCTGATGTATGGTACTGCCATTGGCATGCTGTCATGCTGTTGCAGGCATGAGCAAGTCCATTGCAGTTTGCTACTTTCCTTAAGGAAACAAAAGCTCAGGACTTTGCTTGAATCCCACAGTACTATTTATGACCTCGGTATTTTCTCCATAGTTAGTCATGGTATCTAAAATGGCAAGTTGATGTCTGTAGAGAATCAGAAACTGAATATTTTGTGTATTTGTATTACACCAAGTTCATTATAAAGGTGGCTATGTATTATTATTTACATTTTTATAGATGAGGGAATTGAAGTAAGAGTAATTTTTTTTAAGCAAAAGGATAAAAAATAGAACCTTAGGCCTGCCTAGGTGGAAACAGATCAACTTTGGGGACTTCATTACTTTAAAGTGGACTAAATCAAAATATTACCCAATCAATTTAACTTCATACAGGTATTTAATATTAACCTTCCCAAGTGTCTGTGTAGAAAAACGCTTGTTCTTGCACCTGTTTTAACTTGGGAGCATGCAGGCCTTACTAACACGTTGCAAGCTATAGCTCTCTCTTGCAAAACCAGGTAAAAGTGAACAGCAGAAACAAAGCTATTTTTAATACAGCGTCTTTCCTTAAGTATTTTCCATGAGCCTCTCTTGTATATCCTAAGCATTCACCACTGGGAATACAATAATAGCTTGCAGAAGAAATTTATGTGGATAAATACTGTAGAAATGCTCAGAATACTCAATTTGTTAATTAAAATCTTTTCTGACAAGCCTTTATTAAACTTTAATTTTCCTGGATTTAATAAGGCAGCTATATTTGTATGCCCTTTTAAGTCTTGGGCTTTTTGTTGTTTTTGTTTGTTTGTTTATTTTCATCCATTTATGGTTTACTTTAAAATATGACTCCAGTGTGCTTATCTTTACATTTATTGCCATTTTTAGTTCAGCTACAACTGAACATTTTTTTGGCAAACATAATTGCAACTTTAGTCACATTAAAAAAAATTACAAATGTTCTTAATGTTTATTATTTACAGTATTAAAATTCTTGAATATGCTTACACATTTGAAGTTATTACCTACTTACTATTCTCAGACATGATGACAAAACCCTTTATCAGTCAAGTTTGCTAAAGTCATTTTCTCATGTTCATTATATTTCTCCTCTAGAGAAGGATATCCTGGAAACTACCTTTGATAGTCCTGCACATGAGACAAATAAAGGTCAGAAGTCATTGCAACAAAGTTCCTCTGGTTCAGAGCAGAACAAAAATGTGAGAACAAGCTGTTCATCCAAAGATATAGACAGTGACATGTCAAAGAACTCGTGCACTACCGGGAGTGACTGGAGCTCAGATGAGGATGGAGGAGACAATAAAGGACTGAAATCCAGGTGCGCATCGACTCTTTCAAGCCACACATCTGAAGAGAATGCAAGGTACAGTAGAGTGGCAAGTGAAATGTATTTGACAGCATCTGATGACAGTAGTTCTCTATTTGAAGAAGAGAGTTTTGGTGTTAAGAGGACTCAGCAAAAGAAGTTATACTCCTGGCAGCAAGGATCCCAAAAAAAAGGCCAGAACAATCTGAGTGGAAAGTGCAATTCTGACTTCACAAGTAAAAAGAAAGACCAAGATAGTTCTTCAGATGAACTGAATAAGAAATTTCAATCTCAGAGGCTAGATTATTCATCCTCATCCAGTGAAGCAAATACCCCAAGTCCAATTTTAACCCCTGCTCTGACACCCAGACACCCAATTCTAGCACCTTCTGCAGGTTCTCAATGCACAGCTCTATCAAATTCTCCCTCAAATTTGCCACCTCCAAAGTTACGGACTCCTAATGTTTTTAGTCTGAATTCAGCATTAACGAAGAAACACCTAAGCCAGCCCCAGCTGAGTTCTGACAGAATGTTTGGTAGAAATAGAAATGCCATAAGCATGATACGTCCATGGAGACCTCAGGAAACAGACATAGATCTGGTGGATGGAGAAGATACTGATATTTTAGAGAAAATGGAGATTGGCTGTGATGAAGGAGTGTTTACTTATGACTGCACTGAAGCACAAAATGCTGAAGTCCAGGAACCTTCTGAAATGACAAAAAAGGGTGCTAGCAACAAACCTCCAACCCCTCCATTACATCGATTTCCTTCCTGGGTAAGTGTGATTATGGATATTTTTCCTACTGATGAAGCTAACTTATTTTCATGCCTCTCTTCTATGATTTTTATTGCCTCATATTTTTCTTATTCACTGTTTAATGACAAGACTGGGCGTTACCTTAAGCGGAATTAACACTACAAACGCAGAAGCACGTTTTATTTTAAGCACACTTTTTCTGCCATTGAAAAAGACAGTCACTGTTTTGCACATAAGACCAATATTTTCACATCACATCTAAGTTGCGTATGTCCTTCTGTGTGAGTGTATCAAAAGATGTGGTGCTTGTGACTGCATTTACTTATTTACCTGAATGCCAACACAGCCTAAGAATGCTGGTGTCACTGCCCTTGCTGTAACCACTCTACGACTCACAATCTAGACAATCAAGGTGACAGAAGACAACTACAGATTACAGAAGTTATTGATCCCATTCCACATAAAATTTTAAAGCCATCAGTCAGGATATTAAAATAGATATTACAAAAATTACAGAAAATCCAAAATTAACTGTGTCAAGACTCACTGATTCTGCAGTTCCAGTGTCAGAGATTTATTAATGATTCAGAGATGAATAATGCATTAATGTAGCAGCTTTTCTATGTATATATTTTAGTGCATTTTTTCTTTATAGATTTTCTTATTGTAGTCTTCTAACGCAAAATGATTGAAAAACTGTCTTTTAATGGCATTTCTCTGTTCTTAAGACACAATCTTCCATTAAAAAACATTCTTGTTATAGCTTCTTTGGCACCTGATAATAGTATTTTTAAAAGTAAGTTACCTACAGGGCAAGCATTGTATGAAAAATGTTGAAACAGACTATGAATATGATAGGTATGGCATATAAAAGAAGGATGCATTTTTCAGCTGCTGTCATTTTGTGAACCATTTTAGCATAATAGTTGCACTAACACAAAGACTAGGAGGCTAAACAGAAGAAAAGTATTTGTTGTGTTTTAATTATGTACCATCAAATCCATTCTGCTTGTATAGGAAAGCAGAATTTATGCTGTAGCCAAATCTGGTTTAAGGATGTCTGAAGCTTTGACCCTGGAAGCTTGTAATAAAAGTAAGTGGTTTAGTTGTTCATTGTCTCATCAAAAAAAATTCTATTCTTACGGTGATATGTAAGCAAGGACTTCTAAAATAATTTTATGAAGATTTAGTTATCAGTTATTTAAAACCTAGATTATTGGTTATCTTTCCATAGTCTACCTTACCTCTTGATTTTGTGCTGAATTTGTACATTGTTCACTCCACTTTACTTTGCAATTCTTTTTGAATATTCTATACGAGGTACCAAGGTAAGAGCTTATACTTCCAATTTAAAAAGGAATAGTGTTCATGACTGCAGTTTTATTTACGCTTCTAAAAACCATTGTAAATTTTAAAAGGTTATAAATCTCCCATCTAAAACAGCTTGGGAGTTAGTTTGCTTTTTATAGCAGTTAACACCAAAAAAAATCACATTTGAATTTGGTTAATTGAGGGGTAAATTAAGAAGGTAATTTATAGAATATGTTGCTTTTTCAGGTGCTGTTTCACTAACTTCATGCTCCATATCCGGATTATATACATCCCTGATATATAAGAACATGACCACTCCTGTCTATACCACTTTGAAAGGGGTAACTGTATTATTGTTTAAAGGAAATTTTTAAATACCATGAGGCTTCATATCCAGGAACGTACTGTTTTACATTTGATACTACCATGCCAAGTATGTTGTACATTGATGTTTAGAGATCACAGAACCCCAGAAGTAATAGAAATGTCAAATAGCTAGGGAAAAAAATACTGCTTATGAAATGTTACTAGCCTAGGTCAGTTCTTCTTAGGTTCCTTGCTGATTTTTTCCAAAGGCTTGTTAATTATTAAACAGAACCACATGGTGTTCAATGTCATAATTAAAAGCATGTGTATGTAGAAATTCGTTGTGTCAGTGCCAAAGCTGTTTCTAGTCACATAACCAGCAGTAAGTAATCACAGCGTTGTTTGTTTCTGACAGTCTTTTGTGATTTGGAAAGACCCATGCCTTGAGCTACCTCAGGTTTCTGTTTTCAAGTGTGGGTGTGTTTGAGTATACAGAGGGCAGAGGGAATTCAGTTTCATGTTAATATTTGTGTGCCAAAACTCACAACCCAAGCAAGAAACAGCTTTGAATATTATGAAGCCAACAGAGCTCTGCCACAGTATGAAGGAAATGACTGATAGCCTTTATGCAAGGTATCAAAGAATGTTGTGTTCATTTATGCAGAAAGCAACTCAAATAAGCAACAGCCCATTTATAGATGAGTCATCAGGATCAGAGGAAGAAGACAGCTCTCGGTCCAGCTCAAGGACTTCTGAGTCTGATTCTCGAAGCAGAAGTGGTCCAGGTAGTCCTCGGGCTATGAAACGAGGTAGGCAAAACCATAAGAAAAGGAATTTCTGGCAAGTTTGGAAAACTAGGCAGTTTACGTGATCTTCTTAGAAACTGATTTCTTCCTTAAACAGTGTGGATGTCTTAAGTTTAGGCTCTTATCTCAGCTCTCAAAGCTGATCTAGATCTCGTATTTCAGCAGAAGAAAGGACTGTTACACATGGCTTCTTTTTGTTGCCATTACTATAGATGTCTTTTAAGGCAATTATCTGGTAGCTGGCTGTTGTTGGGGTAAAAGTGACTTGAACATTTAAAGCAAGAAACACCATTCTATCTATACTCTGTCATGCCAAGGGCTTCCTGTGATCTTTAACTGTAGATAAGTAAAAATGATGTAGAGAAAAACTAATTACCATCAGAAAAAACCCCACATATATTCAAGTTTATAAAACGATTTGCACGTGATCAGAAAGCAGGTGGAAAAGTTTCCTTATCAAATTATTTAGTTTTGTCACTTCATGTAATAAGACACTTCTTCCATTTTTATAGTGATTGTATCAAGGTCCCGTGCAAAAATTTAGTTACAACACTTGAATCCAGTAATGTCCTGTGTTTTGTGGAAGACAAATCTCACAGTTCTAGGTAACTGCGTGTTTTCCATCTGCAGAATGAAAATAATGTGCTTCGTAACATTGAAAGATAGAAGTGCTTCCTCATGCGGTGACATTATCAGTGTGATATCCCTGCAAGTATTTCTTCACTGGGTGAATCAAGGGAGACTAAGATTCCAGTGAGGCCAAGTGTTAAGATCCTCCATTATAGAAATGCAAAATAACATGACTTAGTAGTCTCTGTTATACACATTAAAATCCCAGTTAGCAGGAGCTCCGTTCATCCAGCCTGGAGCAGACTGACAGAGCCAGCTGCTGGTCCAGCTGGAGTTTTCCAGTGCCAGCCACATGTGGACTCCAGTCCTGTTTCCAGTGATGCAGTTAAAGTTTTGCTACATTAATGTGAAAAGGACCCATAGTTCCTGCTTTTTAGCAACTCCATCTTGCTGAGTGAAAACCAGTGCCATGGCTGCAGACACATCTCGTGTTATGTGCTCACACAACAGGAAAGCCAAACTGGGTAATTTAAATACAATTTATATCCATGCCTGTAAAGTGGAACCATTCCTTTTGTTCATGCTTTCTTCCTATAAAACTGTCTTTTCATTGTTTCACATGTGGAAACCATTCTTAACCACAAAACATATATGTACTTATTTTTGTTGAGATTGTTTAAAATTCTAGGCAGTCATTTCACATTTCATCAGAAGCATAATTAACTTGCTGCACTTTTGTTATTAAAGATCCTACATGAGAAGTACCCACTCTGACAGTCCAGGTGCTTACAAAGCAATAAATGAGAGAAGCTTTTTTTAAAAACAAAATTGGCAAATTAGTGTGGAAATTAATGAAACAAAGGAAACAAGGCCTCTTCATTTCAATCTTGGAGAGTATAACCTTGCAGAGTAAAAACACTAGTCCTTACAGGAGGACATATTCACATGTATGAAAATACTTCTATGAAGAGTGAGGGAGAGGTTTGAACTTGTATTGCTGGCTCACTAGAATTGAAAACAGTGTGCATTTTTTTCAACATTAAAGCTAATAAACTCTAAAAACCACCTGAAATCTGGAATTCAATTTTTTGAGAAAATCTCAGTATAAAAATTCATACTCATTGCAAAATACAGTCCACTACAGCTTCAGCACAGATCTTGAGCATGGCTTTTTAGTATGCAAGTAGATGCATGAGAAATCCAGATACTAGAGCAAATGATAGAAATGGGAGGGGGAAAGCTGCTTAGTTTAATTAAAGATCCTGTTTTCATTTTCTAGAGAATTAGTATGATGCATGGCACTAACTCCCCCCTTAAAAAAGCTGTGGAAATATAACAGAAGATCATAATATATAGAAGACATTTATTTGTTATTTAATTCACAAGGAACTTAAACTGTTTAATTATGACTGAGAATCAGATATTAGCACTGTGGTAATAGTTCAGTGTGCTGATATTTTAAAAAGTCCTTTGTTCCTGATAGATTTATGTTGATACTTGTGTTTGTCTGCAGATTCTATTCAGATATTCTTTCTGCATGGGTGTTCTGACCTCAGTTGTTTGTAGTGTAATAAAAAATACATTAAAAATTACCTTTCTTCTTTTACCGCAGGTGCGTCTCTGTCTTCTGTGACCTCAGAAAGTGACTATGCTATTCCTCCAGATGCATATTCAGTAGATACAGACTATTCAGAGCCAGAGCAGAAACTTCCTAAGACCTCATCCTCATCTAGTGATAATGGAAAAAATGTGAGTACTGAAGTTCTGTGAAGAAGTCCACCTCTGCTGCTATATGTATATTTATATTTCTATATTCAATCTTGCTGACTCACAGACTGCCTTATGAGTACAAATAGCAAAATACACCAACAATAAGTTAACTGTATAAAACTGTAATTATTGAAGGAAAATGGAGAGTAATTGTGAGCTTTCTATATAATAAAGGAAAACAGGTCTACAACTCCAGAAAAGAATTCAAAGTATTTAAGATTTCCTTTCTTGGAACCAGGTCTAGTATCAGATTGCACATGAAAAACTAAAAGCAGATTAAAATTATTATTTGAATATTCAGGGAATTAGAAGGGCATTCCAAGAAGGAGTTGAAGTTTTAAGTGGAAATCTATGTACAGTAATAAGTTTCTATATTTTCCTCATTCAGGGAAAGCTTTACACATCAAAGAAATCATAAGTAGCATAATATGCAAGGACAGGTCAAGGAAACCAAACCATTATGGGGTATTGGTCTGTCCCCAGGAGTATTTAAATTGCTTCTATTAGTAGCTAGTTAACATACAAGTGTATTGATTGCCTGGTGATGAAAACTATTTTAAGCTTTCTTCACAGAGGAAAAACTGTGAGCTCTGTTCTACAGGTGTACACACTAAAAGTTTGTCTGTGAGGAGCTCTGAATTACAGTGCTCTTTATGTAGTCTGTAGGTTAGGCCCTGAAGCTGGGAAAAAACATATTTATTTTATATTCATTTTTTCCGTGTTTAATATAAATAATTAGAAAGTAAAATCAGAAATCATCATAATCTTCATTCTTTTGTATAGTTTGGGGCAAATCATTCTCCTTCATATACTTTAACTGTAAATAGGGATAGTTACCCCATGTGCATGTCATTTGTGTTAATTGATGCTTGTAAAAATTTTTTGTTGGACTAAAAGTCTCACCATGTACTGTAATTATTATTTAACATTCTTTTAAGTCATTAATATATCTGTGTCTTTATTTTTAAATATTTCTGAGGATATAGGTATATATGTGTGTCTAACTACTTTTTACCTACCTTCTAAACAATCAGGAGCCTTTGGAAAAATCTGGATATCTGTTAAAAATGGGTGGTAAAGTAAAGACCTGGAAACGACGGTGGTTTGTGCTTAAAGGAGGCGAATTACTATATTACAAATCTCCAGTAAGTACATGTAACTTACCTACTGTTTTAAATTACATTTTTTTACTGAGAATATAGGGCTGCTAGAAGGAAAAGATACATTTCTGGTGTCTGAGCTGTTAGAGAGTGATTCAGGACTCATTTCCTCAAGAGGTGTACAAGGTACTCAATGCTTAACTAGGAACTATTTATCCAGATTAATGTTTAAACGAGTTGTATAATTATTTGTTGCTATTTGTTGGTAGGTTTAAAATACTCTTTTTCCATTCTTTCCATACAGAGTGATGTCATTCGAAAACCTCAAGGTCAAATTGAGCTAAATGCATCTAGCCATATTGAAAGGGGTGATGGAAAACAAACTATTCAGGTGCCTTTATTTTCTCCTCTGTTTTTGGCATTCCCTCCATCCCCAGAATCAACTCAGTCCCTATTGTACTAGAAGTCCAAGTGTGGACTTGGAATTCAATAATAAGTGCCCTTTGTTTGAAACCAAAGAATCATTTCAGTTACAGAAAATATAAAAAGGCCATGGAGTCTTGTTTGTATTGCTACAAAGGTCAGTCATCACATATGAGATAGAAATAAGGAGAGTAGTTTTGGGGCCAGCCATTGAGGTTGAGAGAAGTCGTTTATCTGAAAGGAGATAAAATTGAGTTTTCTCAACTTGGTGTCCTGGAACTTTTCAGATAAAGACTTAGAAAGGGTCTGTCTGCTCTGCCTGGCTATGGAATGTTTCTGCCTGGCTATGGAATTAATGAAAACTACTTTGGGGAAAATAAATCCCTCAAAGCTGTGAAACTACATTGGGTAGTATATGTTACAACGCTCTGCACTGTGGGGTTGAATGTATAAAGTTCTTGAAGCTCAAGACTCTTCTGTTACTACATAGCTGACCACAGAAAAACGAACATACTACCTGACTGCAGATTCTCCCAACATCTTAGAAGAATGGATCAAAGTACTACAGAACGTTCTTAAAATACAGGCTGCTAGCCCACTCTTCATAAAGTCCGAAATCAAGCCAACCATGAAAGGATTACTTACAAAGGTAGGAAAATTCTTCTTCCCCCAACCTGCTTTATTCCATATTTTTTAATAACAATAGCCAGAGGAGAATGGCCCTACAATAAAACAAATACAAGTAAACCAGATGTGTATTTGCTTCCTCAGTACTTTACAGTGTGAACAATCCAGAAGGACTACCCACTCACCTACTCTGGGCAATTTTTTTTCCTAGTTGCTTGATTTGATTTGGCTTTTGGTTTTGTCTTTTTAAGTCATTAGTTCCTGTGCTGAGATCTCCATTTGCACTTCAGTGGTATACTAGTTCAGCATATGTGTATAGTGGAGTGCTGTCTTTTTCTGTATTACTCACTGCGACAGATTATTTCAAGTTAATACAAATATTGAATCAAAAGAAACGTTTTTCTTTCAATTATTCTGTTTCCTTAGCTTCCATTAATTTAGGTCTGATTCAAAGTCACATGAAAAACACTGACCTTATGAGGTTTTAGATGAGCATCTCATCTAATGCTTTGATTCTTATGCCCTTAATAGAGTTATGAAGTTTTAATTTTTTGTCTAACAAAGGGGAAAGAATTTGAACCAAGGCATTTATTCCCAATACTGCCAAAGTTCAGAGGTGGTGAAAACTAGTCTGTGTTTTTCTGGCTGTGCTTGTTCCTAATGTTCTGTAATCACAGGTGAAACATGGATATTCCAAGAGAGTTTGGTGTACCCTTGTTGGAAAAATTCTGTATTATTTCCGTAATCAAGAAGACAAGGTAGGTCCCTTACTTGTTTTTTCAATGACTATAGACTTTAAACAGTAACTTATAGCTTAATTAAGGTACAATTGCCATAGGCATTGTGCACAGATTGTCAACTTGGAAGGTTCCTACCTAACTGCTACTAATCCAGGGCACACCCTTCAGTCTCCTTCTACAGGACATGATACATGTTCTGCATCCCATCCCCAGCTGAAGGGGGACACTGATTTGCTGACAATTCACTTGTCCCTTTCTGACAGGCATGAGACTCATTAGAGAAGTCCTAGCTGTCATGTACTTCTGGAAAGAGGCCCTTTCTAATATATGTTTGCAGGGGGCAGTGACTGCAAGTTTCAAGAATTTAAATGTTCTTTTTATCCCTCAGTTGACTTCCAAATCCTGCTCTTTGGTATGTCACTGTACCTCCATAGTGCTGCAAGAGCTAGGACACTGGCTAGTCATAATTTTCACCTGTCCCTTTGCTCCTAAGGCATTGTATTTTGTCAAGAAATATCTTTCTAATGGAGGTGGGTGAGAAACTAGATTTGGAACAGTCCACTGAGCCATTATAAGTAACAGTTAAAAAAATACCCAGAAATTTTCATTTTTTAACTTCTGTCCTAAGCAAATAATCACAATGGAGCCAGTAATTAATAGTTTCTATGTAGAGCTACTTATTCCCTTTGTCATCCTTTCCATTTCTAGCCATTTTGAAACATTCAGCTAAACCTTATTTCAAGAACTATATGCAAAAGATAGCAGTAACCATACATCAAAACATTTTTTTTAAATTAAAACAATGTAATACAGGAGTCAGGAATCACCTAACTAGAGTATTAATCTCTAGCTCATCCTAAAGAGACAATAAAATAAACTCACAATTTCTCCTATGGATAAGTCTCTGTTTTTAAAGTATCTGAATTTACACATTTTTACCATTGAAGATTTTGGGATTATAGCATGCCCCTTAGAAGCATTTAAGAATTTTGCTGGATTCTTGTGAATTTCCCTCACATTTAGTAGAAGTTTGGCTGCCCTTTTAAAGTAAAATTGAAACTAATTTGCTAACTTGTAATAAAATAAGGATGTAGCTTTTGTAAGCAAAATATGTATGAGAAATTTCCAAGGCTAGTTAATTTCTAATGTTCAACAATTTGCTAATTAAGAACATAACTTTCTGTAGCTGAATGTGTCTATGCAGAAATAAATTACACAATCTGCAGTGGTTAATACAGTAATGGAGTACATTTAAAAGGCTTCCTTTCAAAATAGAATTCAAATTAAAAAATGAGCCAACTGTGTTTTAGTTAAACTTGGTAAATAAATCAATCTTGACTACTTCCATGTGAAATGACATCTTTTGCTTCTCAGAATCTTATCTTGTTCAAAAAGTTGAATGCTTCAGAAGCACTACAGAAAATACAAATCACCACATGCGTCTTTAATCCTCACTAGTGAAGGCACTGGAGCAAAGGGCCAGCACTGTGTGATGCTTTCTTCAAATGACAGTATTATTAACAGCTCATTGTAGTAAATCACTGTTCCAAGAATCCCACCTCAGATTGAGTAAAACTTGCCAGCTACTCTCCAGTATGGGATTTTCAATTTTTAAAGAATATTTTTGAGAATCCTCATCTACTTTTCACTGCTGTTGTGGTTTCAAGACAACTTACTTCAGTAACCAATGCTTCTTCACTGCACCATTAAACAACATTCTTTTGAACATCCTCATGTCTGAATGGCTAGAGAAAGAACAGTGGGGCTGTGAGAAAGGAGGGAGCTTTGCATAAAGTAGCCAGTAAGACTGTCAGCCTCTGTCAGTACTGTCACCCAGTTGTGAAGGTTTCATGCTGTATTTATGTTCGTTGTCGCTTCCTGTTAATGGCTATGAAATAATTACTTCTGTGAGAATTTCCCCTTGAATGGCTTTTTAACGTACATTTCCTAATAAATGATGCAAACTACATAAACAACTCAACAACGAAGTACTGTGATCTATCAGACTGGAGAATGAAACCAACTGGAAGGTCTACCACACAAAAAATTTGCTTTCTGAATTTATAGCATGAACAAAACAGAGACATCAATAATACATTACTGCCCTCTGAAATAACAAGATCATAATTAAAGTTCTAGGCTTGATGCAGGGAATTTTTGCTTGAAACCAGGTCTGGAAACTCTGAAGAATGACTTCTCTCACCCTAACAGACCTTTATTGCATTACTTATGTACAGAAGCAGAAAAGAATTTTTGAAAATCTCACCTTCAGACTTAGGCAGTTGTCATTCTCCTTTTGCTCTCTGCAATAGATGGCATATCTGACATTCCTGGGCAAAACTGAAAATGAACACTTACAAATGAGTATTGATGGTAGTTCATGGTTTTCCTTTTATTTGCAGAATAAGAAAAAAATTGTGTATAATAATAAATACAATAATATGTAATATAAAATCAGAGTGCACTGAAGTGAGTATTACCTCTCTCACCCCTTCTCATATTTGCTTTTAGTTTCCTCTTGGCCAAATCAAGCTTTTTGAGGCAAAGGTGGAAGAAGTTGATAGATCCTGTGATTCTGATGAAGATTATGAAGCTAGTGGTCGCAGTTTATTATCAACTCATTACACTGTTGTTATCCACCCCAAAGACCAAGGACCCACTTATCTTCTTATAGGATCCAAACACGAGAAGGTAGTAAATGGACATTTTTATTGAGTTTCAGTAACACGTTTATGGGTGTGGTGCTGTGATATGAATATTTCTTGAGGAGGAAGAAGGAGACCTACAAGTTATATGGCTTGTAGTTTGATATAATAAGCAAGGAGAAGGTTCTGCTTTTCTAACGTCGATCAAAGTTTGTCTATAAATCAATGCTGCTGTGGGTAAGCCATGTTAAAATAGACAAAAATAAGCAGGCTGCCTATATAAGTAGGTGGTGCAGAATATCATATATGCTGTAACTGGAGAATTTTGCTCACATACACTAACTTGTAGACAGACCCGTAGCTGACCTTCTGGAGAGGTTTTAGGGTACTTGTATCCATATTCACTGAAAAGATTAACAGTAGCAAAGACTGTCGGACTTAAGTGAAGGAGCAATGAGAGGTGTGGTTAAAACCATTTTTATTATCTTGCTGCATTGTTCTCAACTAATCTTGTTTTGCTTTCTGCCCTTATCCCAGCCAGATAGCGAGATATCCCAGGTTAGTGGGATCTGGCAGTGATAAAAAGACACTTATGTAAGCTTTTGGAAGAGGAAAGGAAGAATGACCTGATAATTAGATGTGATTTCTGAGGGTAAAAACTTACGAAGAGCACCCTGTCCAATCTTCCTTGCTTAATGTTTGTAACAGAGAGACCATGAATACATGTGTATTCAACCAAAGGCAATCTCCTTTGGGTTTCAAAAGGAGTGCATGGTAGTGTTTGAAGTTGAGAGCAAAATCCTGACGAAGCAGCTCCTTCCAACATGGAATGAGTGAACTGCTCTGTTTTTCTGATTTAGGACACATGGCTTTATCATCTGACAGTTGCAGCTGGAAGTACCAGTGTAAATGTTGGATCTGAGTTTGAACAACTTCTTTGCAAATTATTAAATGTGGAAGGTGATGCCAGTAAGTTTGTTTTCATTTCAACATACTAATCTTCCAGTGCTTATTTACTGAATGTACTTATGTACTGAATTAATTGCAAAACCTTTTTGCATCCTTTTAGCTTCTCAGATTTGGAGACATCCTACCCTTTGCCATAGCAAGGAAGGAATTACTTCCCCTCTAACAACATTGCCATCAGAAGCCTTGCAAACTGAAGCAATTAAATTATTTAAGGTAAAACCATAGCAGATGCCTTTTTGATTTACTGACTATTTTAACTCTTAGCTAAAGAATGGATATTAGCTGGCTTACTAGGAATGTTCAACAGATAAGGAAAAAGAAAAGAGAAGTTTACTTTTATTTTTAGTGGAGGTAACTACTGGACAGAAGTGGAATGGCCTCATATTATCTCACCAAAGACTATCACTTCCGATGTAAAGAGATCACTTTTGGTTGTGAGGAGCAGTTTAGGCTTCAGCTTCTGGCTTTCCTACTTATTTTGTATGTTACTGATAAATTGCAAGTTGCTAGAAAAATCCACGGCCATCATGAATGATAAAATTTTGTCTTGAAGTTCATAGCTCCAAAGAACGTACCAGCTTTGAGAATGGACAGATCTCTGCATTCAGAAAACTGTAGCTGAAATACTGTTGCTTTCATTAAATTCTGGAGGAAAAAATAATAGGCGAAACTTTTGTCACAGATACATTTAAATCATCTGGGAGACATTTTAAAAATCGGAAGAAAAAGCAAAATTTAAGTTTAAGCAAGTTATAGACTACTTCAAATTGAGATAGAAAACAGAGATTGTACTGCTCTTTTTAATAAAAAGAAAATATTTTCCTATGAAGTAGCTATTCTTAAAAGATGGATTAGATATTCAGTAATATATATGGAGAAAATATTCTAGAGCAAAATTATTAAAAGTGTTTCACAACATTTTTTTGAATTCACTTTTAAAGATTTTTATACACCTTTAAAAATATGCATATGTATATCTCCCAGGAGTAGTGAAAAGGCCTTATGACTAGGAGACACATAACAGATCATAACTGCTGAGCCACAGTTAGTTTCTTGAAAAATTTTGTCTGCCACTAAGACCTTACATCTTTCCCAGTTAAAGGCCAGGTAGGTGAGAGTATTATGATGCAATGCCATTAACCTTCTTTCAGGTTATAAAGTCTATTTCAGAGACAAAATAAAATTTTGCTGTTCTTTTTTCTGTATGTTGTGAAAGAAGTTACAATTTGGAAGGCGTGGAGCTTGGATAAATTAATTTTCTCCACAAAACTTGAACAAATCTAAAGACCAAATTCCCTGAAGCGTCAAATATCTGGAGAATTCTGATGTCATGGTTCAGATCTAGAAAGGAATTCAAGACAAGCATTGTATGTTTAGTCACGGCCACTTGTAGGCAAACTTTCCAGATGGTTTCTCTGAAATGTTTGAAAGACTTTAAAGAAGTACATCCATCTTACTTTCTGCAATCCTGCAGCATGAAAGTTTAAAAGGAAATGTACCTATTTGATAAAAACAAATGTACATTTATTTGTAAATCACTTCTCAGACCTAGTTCAAATCACAGACACTTGCCTAAAATACATAAACGAGAGATCACTTGTATGACCTTTACTGAACCTTTGTAAAAATCAATTTTAAAAGTCAGATAAGGAATTTATTTAGAAACAAATCAGGTCATGATTCGGTTATTCAATTGCTGATAAAAAATAGCCTGTGTGAAAATCCACATATTTTGGACTAGAAATAGATTGGGCTTCCATCCATTTCTTGTATTTTTCCTTATGTCCCTTGAAAATTCCATCAACTATTTTATAGAGTAAATGCAATAAGTGATACATATGTTTTCTTCTAATACAACACAACAAAATGCTTAACACATGGCTTTACTGGGGATAGGAAAGTTCATAGTTACCCACAGTAAAAATACCAGGGAAAGCCAAGATGTAAATCAATGGCTCTGAGTTATGCTTTTCCTATCTGTGCATATTCTGCCATGTTGTGCTCACTACTTGCACAAGCATTTTACATTGTCTGCCATTGAGAGCTGTAGACTTTGCAAGCCTTGTAGAGGGTCAGCTTTGTTCAGCATGTCCTTAAACTTGCATACCACGACAACTGTTGCAACTCATGTTAAGAGTTCACTCCATTAGATGCGGCGTGAAAAGCATGGGTTCTAGGAGGTGTTTTTGTCTTAAGTCTCACTACATAGCTTTTCACCCCTTTTTTGCAGAACCAGCAGGGTTTCTTTAGTCTACTGGTAGACTTACTGTGACTTCAGTTAAAGCACACTTTTGTTACAGAACATCTTAAAGATTTGTTGGAGCTTTTTGTATGTAAACTCACTTGCTTATTATTTTATATCTAGACCTGCCAGTTGTTTATAAATGCTGCAGTTGACTCTCCTGCCATTGATTACCATGTATCTTTGGCCCAAAGTGCTTTGCAGATCTGCCTCACACATCCTGAACTTCAAAATGAGATCTGTTGCCAGCTTATTAAACAGACTAGACGTCGACATCCACAAAACCAGGCAGGACCAATACAGGTAACCCAGTATGTATTTTAATGGTAACAATTTCAGCAGCAATAAAGGAACTACATGGCCTGCTTAGAATGGTAAAGAGGCTATGCTCTTCTGTAGCATCTGCTTAATTGAAATTGGATAAAAAGCTGAGCTAATATCTTAATTACTGGAGCAATACCTACAGAACTAGGAGATGGATCAGAAAATGTTACCATATTAAGGCTTCTGTAATGGTCATGTTTTTCTCTTGCCACAGAAAGTAGATCGTGACCAACAGACATACCTACTATCTAGAAACAGCCTCTAATCCGATATGTGGTGAGGCACTGGAACAGGTTGCCCAGAGAATCTGTGGATGCCCCATTTCTGGAAGTGTTCAAGGCCAGGTTAAACTGAGCTTGGAGCAGCCTGGTCTAGGGAAGGGGTTCCTGCCTATGGCAGGGGCATTGGAACAATATTATTTTTAAGGTCCCTTCCAACCCAAGCCATTCTGTGATTCAATTTGTGCATCACAAAACATTCACAAAGCTTTTTTAGCAGATATAGCACATTCATGTCAATTAACACACACTGAAGTTATGTATGGCTGAAGGAACTTAAACTTACTATAGACCTTCTTTGGTGCTTTTCTTACCACTGGCAAGGCCTTCCCTCTGATGCAGATAAATATATTGTTGCAATCGTAACACAATGGAATGATATTTAAGAGCTAACACATTCAGTAAAATGTTTTCAGCCTTACACTAAGCTTTTTAAGTCCTAAATTCATTCTGTAGTCTCCTACCATTGCTTGTACTGTGGTGTATACCTTGATGCTATCCTCCATCAAAGTACAGATATTTGATGAGAGGGAATATCTGCGCCTGTGCTGTCAAATTTCTATTTAATACCAGGCAAGTCAAACAAATCAAGATGGAGAAACACCATTTTTAAAATTTCAGTATGAAGCATGGATTGTGAGAGTAGTTGCAATATTAGTAAGTGTATATCCAGGGTACATGAGAGCAGTCTGTAATAAGTGAAGCCTATGGATATGTATTGAGCAAGAACGATATACCAAAATATTGAATCACTGATTTTTTTCAGTAGTTACTGTCTACTTGGCAGGAGGAAAATGTCTTACGTGTTGCTTCATCATATATGTAACAGGAGAGCTGAATTCAAATTTCACAGGCTTCTCCTCATTTCATAGTGCTTGGCCATGCAGCCTTAGTATTTTTTTCCCTGTGTATTAAGATTTTTATACAAACTGAGCTAATTTCCCATTTCCAGCCCCCAAAGAAACTTGCTGTACACAAGTAAATAGAAAGAGAGCCTTGGCCTTTCAATGAGGTGACATGCTTATTTACTCAGCTTTTTCTCTGTGTTTTGTTTTTTCCATTCGTGTTTCAACAGTCTTGACTTGGCACAGTAAGCTGCACTGCTGGCCAGCAGCCACAGCAGGAAGTTTTACGTTGTAAGATGTTTAAAACAGTGAATGTATTCCTTTTGTTCAGGGATTGCAGCTCTTGGCTCTCTGCGTTGGACTCTTTCTGCCCCAGCACCCATTCCTTTGGCTTCTTAAACTTCATTTAAAGAAGAATGCAGATTCCAGGTGTGCCTGAATATTATAACCCAGCTTGTCAACTAGTCTTTCTGAAATACCTAATTTTCAGTCTTTCCTGTAGTATATCAGATTTTTGACATACATTTTTAAATGAATTTGAGTAGAATTGCTACTAAAATGTAGTACATGTTACTTCTATACATCACTTGGGAAAGTTACCCCTTTTCTCAAAAAATACTCTGCAGTGGAACCCTTGACTCTGTGTTGCAAAACCATGAAACCCAAAATATGACAGTTATTACACAACACACCCTGAGCCATGTTCATCTTTGGCACAATTCTGCTGGTCTTAGTAGACTAATTCTCTTTCTAATTCCACATGCAAAAAATGTGTTGGAAATCTCACAGCGTGAAATCTCAGTGCTCCTCCCATCTGGCATCCCCAGAGAAATTTACTCACAGTTTACTATCCTTTCAATCAGTCCCCAAGGATTGCCTTACTTCTTTTTTTGTCACAGGACCGAGTTTGGGAAATACGCAATCTATTGTCAGCGATGTGTAGAACGTACCCAGCAGAACGGAGACCGAGAAGCAAGACCTTCCAGAATGGAAATCCTTTCCACTCTGCTAAGAAATCCCTATCACCATTCGCTGCCCTTTAGTATTCCAGTTCATTTCATGAATGGCATATATCAGGTAATGTCATGTAGACCAGAAAACCTGAGCTCTCCCAACCCCTGGCTGTTAGCATATTCATGAAGTATTATATCAGGAAGAGAATTATAAATGTTAAGGTAAACCTGGTTCAAATTTCATCCTGTGCCAGTGCTAGCAATGGCAGGCACATGGTACTTGGGATCTGATTTGATCAACGAAGAGTAAAGGTTTGGGGGGAAAATCTTTATGAGAAAATAAAAAAAGCAAGACCTCTTAAGAATGAAAAATACCAAAGTTCTGTTTCTTATTTAACCTGACCACCATCTGAATGCATTAGTCTGAAGGAAAGGGAAAGGTATTAAATTCCACTTCCTTTCATCAGACATCTTGGAAGTTAAATCAGTGAAGGCCTGGAAGCACAGCTGTAACTCCCATTATCAGTCATGAAGGATAACCATATTTGTTACAGAACAAACAAGGCTTCATTCTTAACTCTTGTGGGACTTCATCAGTCAAAGCCTGTAGGAAACTCTTCACAGGCTTCCATGCATGCTGCTTCACATCCTGGTTCGTGTTTGCAACTGTGAGAGATGGCTGAAAAGAATTTTTTGAACAATTCAGAGTATTCCTAGACAGAAAGCAACTTTTTATATGAAATCAAGGCTGTATCAAATAATCTTTTCATTTCAGGTCACAGACAAACTCTGTCTTTTTTTCACTGCTAAGTTTCTTAATTGCTTACTGCTTCCTGCTTGCCCAGTAAAACAGAAAAAAACCCAACATGTATTTAAATCAACCTAAAAGGTTTCAAAATGGAAGTTTGGAGAAGAAAAGGAGTAACTGCTCATTAGTTATTTACTGCTCAAAATTGTATAGTTCCAAGGGCTAAGAAAATTGTAACTAATTTGTAAAAATTGTAATTAAATTACTAATTTCTAAAAATACTAATTTTGTAAAAATGTTAACTAATTTAACTAAAATTCTAACTGATTGTAACTAAATTACTTTAATGGGATCAGCAAATAAGCAACTATAGAGATACTTGAAAACTCCTGTATTCATCTCTGAAGCTAGATTCAGCAGATACTTATTTTAATGCCAGCCACTGAGAAGTACAACACAGAAGTCCAAGATCCATTTTCAAGACATTTTTTACCAAGAATAAAATATTTTCACCAAGTCAAATACAGGAAAACACCCTCAATACAGACTTAAGTGAACATCAACAACTGGTATCTGTATGAAAGCCATTTGCAATCTCTTGCTAAAATGCGTAAATGCTAGTAACAACGAGTAACTACGAACAAATACTAGTAACAATGGACAAAAATTCATATTTGAGGAAGTAAAACTTAGAAGGCTCTGTATATTACTGATAAAGCAACATTTGTAAAATATTTTGAATCTGCCAGACTAGATCTGCCATCTAATATCCCTCTGAAGTTGCGCATGGTGAAAAATTACTAACTGATCTCATTTGTTTCATCACTTGATTGAAAAGTGGAAGAAATCATAGTCTTCCTAGTTTTTCAAGTAGTATTTGTCACAAAAAGCACACATACTAGACTGATACCTGTTACATAGATTTTGTAACAGAAATTCAACTTTAGCATGTACAAAGAAACCACTACAAACAAAGGAAATAAACCCAAAAATACTACATTTGGAAGCATTCTGAGAGTGAATTTGATTTGGTAAACAAAGTAAGAAAAGGTACAATCTGCTGAGAAGTTAGTAATTTTTGGATAGAGAAAAATTCCACTAAATTGACTTGCCACATGGAAATCTTTTCCAGATTCTTTCTGGAAATTTTTAATTTCCAAAGACAGTAAGTTATCCGCAGAGGATGGAATGGGTCTTACAGTCCCACTGTTATTGTGAGGTATTATATTTCAAAATCTTCAGTTTAAGGAAAAGGGGGTGTATAAGCTTGATAAGCAAAATACGTTTTGGCTGCTTTTTTTAGGTTGTCGGGTTTGATGCCTCTACCACAGTGGAGGAATTTCTGAACACCCTGAACCAAGATACAGGAATGAGGAAACCAGCTCAGTCAGGATTTGCACTGTTTTCTGATGATCCCTCTGGCAAGGATATAGAGCACTGTCTTCAAGGAAACATCAAGGTAAACAAAAGCCTTTAATGAGCTCTACATGTAAGAAAACCAAAGTATCATCATTTGACAGAGCTCTCCTCAGAAAAGAGAAAGCTGAAAACTGTCTATAGGTTCTTTCAGGATGAAAACTATATAATACTTTAGTAATGTATTTGATATTTTTCAAGCCTTTTGGCAACTAATGAATAATGAATTTTTTGTACTTCTACCAAAGTAGTCTTTTGCACCCTTTGGCCAGTGTTCACAGCTGCACTTTTGAGTTACAAGTTGTGATACAACCTGGCCTTAGTGACAAACAGTTTGTTATCACAATCAGCCTTCTTCCTGAACCAGAAGAATTACCATCTGGAAAGCAAAATTCCTAAAAGATGTACTTATTTTCTAGGTATACTGAAACTTTAGCAGCTACTCACATTACTGCTTCCAGGAAGGCTCTTTTATGAAGGAACAGTGACATGAGGTCCAGCAGAGCTCTTAGAACCTCTGTTCCACCTCCTCCCCATGTGCCCACCTACCCACCTGCACTGCTTGTTGTGAACCACTCTGGCTGTGTTTTATAACAAACTTCCTACCAGCTTTATAGCAGTTACTGGAAAGGACCTGAAAAACTTGGGCATGCAGCAGAAAGAGAAGGCAGAGATCAAAGGCATTTGACTAATTATATAACAGCTCTGTATAATTACACATTCTCTGGCTGCTGCTAAATCAAGTACCTGGCCTTTCCAAATAAGCATGTTAGGGCTCATTTCCAATGTAGTGTGAGTGTTGCAGGATAAACAAACAACTAAATTGTTAATTATTAAATGCTCCGACTAAGAAATGCAAGTGAAGTTATACTTCAGTAAGCTTAAAAATTCAAGCTATGTATGTTTCTGATGTGTAATAGGTAGAGGATATTAAAATAAGTTGACAATTTCTATTCAAAGGTGTTTTCAAATAGGAAGACATGGCAAAGTCCGTTTTGTATTGCTTTCCTTCTAGATCTGTGACATTATTTCAAAATGGGAGCAAGCCTCCAAAGAACAACACCCTGGGAAATGTGAAGGCACAAGGACTGTCCGCCTTACTTACAAAAATAGGTTTGTTTAGCAAGTATATCTCTGCCTTGTCCCAAGATTTGTTTTTTGGTTTTTGCAGATTCTTCACCTGAAAAATACTGTCTGACTCAAAGCTTGCAACAACAGCAGTAAATGGGTGTAACTGGAGAATTTCTTTTTTAATACAGTTCATTTTTTCTAGTCCTTAAGAGATGAGCCGAACTGGAAAAAAAAAAAAAAAGCCAACACTGAAATCAAAGGACTGAAATTAAATACTTGCCCAGTAGTTGAAGTGCAAGTGTTGTTCTGCTAATGTGTTTTGACACTGACATAAACATGTCACATTCAGAGCAGATACTGCTAATCCTCAGGGCTAACGCATTTCCCTGTCTTCTTTATTTAACAACTTTCTGTCTTTTCTGTAGGCTTTATTTTTCAGTTCAAGTTCATGGGGAGACGGACAGAGAGAAGCTGCTGCTAGTATATCAGACAAATGATCAAATAGTCAATGGACTTTTCCCTGTAAACAAAGAATTAGCGATGGAATTGACAGCTCTTTTAGCCCAGGTAATCTTTATGCATGAGTGACTCACACAGCAGTTTTACAGGTTAAATAACTTAAATAAGCAAACCGGTCTGGGATTGCTTGACAGTCACATGACCTCCACCTTCTACCTATGACAGTGCAGGAAACAGACTGGGCTGGAATCTTCATGTAAGGCAACTCTGGACTTCAAGTGGAAATGCTTTACAGCATAGGCTGCTGGACCATTAGTATGGATAAAACATGCGTTACCTCTTACACAGTCAGGCCTTCTTGAATTAAATACCATGTAGTCATGTCCCTTTTCTTCATTCACTATTCCTTACATAGTTTCTGCAAGTTAATATTCCAAAGGAACAGCTGTTAATGAAAGTCTAAGACTCCTTTACTAGTCATAGTCTTGATAAGAGCTGTGTTACATTTAAAAAATTAAAAGCTCAAAGGAAGGTTATTAAGAAAGTTACTTGATGTTGTTATTCAATAAATGTAAACTGCTTTGTGCTAACTGGAGATCTAACAATCTCAGAGCAGAACTAGTATTATATTTGTACAATTTATATTTGATGTTTAAATTTTCTCCATGGTAAATAAAAAATAAGAAGATTATTTGTATAACTTTTATATTGGTGAAAAAGCAATTGACAAACTGGTTTTCATCTTATACTTGGTAATACAGATTAAAAGACAGTTCATAATATCCAGCTAGAAAATTACTCTGGAGTAACAAAAAATTTTCTTCATGGACTTCCCCTTAGGTAGAGATTGGAGATTTTGAACGGCCTTTCTCAACTCCAGCAGGGCAAGTTACTTCCCAGTCCAAGTCCAACCAAACACTGAAACAAGTTTTGGAGAGATTCTACCCTAAGAGATACAGACAAGGTTGCTCAGAGGAACAGCTAAGGTGAGATGTATTTTGTGATTCATATTCTCTAAAAATCCAGGAGTGAAACAAGGAAGTTTTAAACTGTCATTGGGTACAGTTTACTCTTGTGCTGTATTTGCCTAAACCTGTGTTTGAAACTCATTTTTCTTGCTAAACTGAAGAACCCATTTCGTTTGCATGTTTCTAATCACAGAAAAGGACATCATTAAGCACACATTCCAGCAAAAGCTCTACCAGTTACTACACAGTGTTACAAAACCCAGTGATTTTGAAATTCTTATTTTCTTTTCAGCAAATCTAAATTAAGTCTGTGCACGCACTAAAGAGTTACTGAAAGTAAAGGACATGAGGATCTGACCTGTTTGCTATTCTAATGTGCAATCTCTGGCAGCCGGTCAGATTGGCAACACGTTAACTTAGTGGACTTGCTAGTAATGTATCACTTCATTTACAATTAATAACCTTCAAGTTGCTTGAATCAGCGCCTACTAACATGAAAACGAGCAGAACAGTGTCATAAATTATCCAAAGTCAATGATACAGCGGTTTTGAAGTCCAGCAAACATCACAGAAATGTTTTCCTCATTCTTCAGTACAGAGTTGAGAAAACTGAGAGCTATTATCATATGCGCATAGTGACATAGTAACATTATTACGTTCTCAGAAGACAACAAGGGCATTCAAATGTATATGCACAACAAAGAGAAATTTATGCAATTCATTTCAAAGAACAAAGGATAAGAGGTCCTGGGTTAGACTAAGTTATTGAGGATAAGTCAGCTATCTCTTGAACTGTTCAAATAGTCCCTAAACTACCAGCTGGCAGAGATGGAAGCCTGTGGCAGGGAAATAATCACTCTATATCTGCCCTGTTGCTTGTATTCTTTTGCCAAGGGTGCAGTGCTGATCAGAAGCAACCTTATTGCTAGCAGTGCACTAAAAAAAATAAACCAAACCCAAACATATCTTCCACATCTACTGCTAGACACAGGTAAACATATGTGCTAAGCTGGATGGATTTTTGGAATGACAACTGATATAGCTGTTGAGTACTGATAAAGGTAGATTGATTCTCTGTAGAGACATATTAAAAGCTGTCCCAGACTTTTTCCCTTTATGCTGCAACTGCTACATCAATATTTAATCATAATGTTACAGAAATTAGAAGATACTTCGTAATGTTCATGTGCATTAAAATATTAAATGACACTCTGGGTTTATTTAATACTGTATAAGTGATAGTTGTTGTATTAACTTAAATTATCATTTTAACAAATGGATTATTTTTTTGCTCATTAAACTCGCTATGGGTAAGCATTTAAATTCCTTTCAATAACTAAATTACATACTTCATTTCAACAGACAGCTTTGTCAGCGGTTGTCTACAAGATGGATGGCTCTCCGGGGGCACAGTGCTGCAGACTGTGTGCGCATTTATCTCACTGTAGCCAGGAAATGGTCCTTCTTTGGTGCCAAACTGTTTGCAGCAAAAGTAAGAACCTTTATTGAGTTTGAGTGGTGGGGGTTTTAAATATAAATATAATTTGCAAATAGTAATACCCTTTTGTTGACAATAACTGTGTTGTATATGAGCTGATTGAATCTTTTGTGAAATTACTGATCTGTTTAAGTCATATACTGGTAAAATATAATAGTACTAAGTATACCATAATAGTAACTTTCCAATACACTTACTGCTTGTTTGACATTATTAATCTAGGTAGTATCATTCAATTTCCTTATATCTTGGCTTGAGATGGCTTTTTAATTTTAGCCTTTTTTTACCTGATAACTAGTAGAGCATTGAAAAGACATCGTTAACTGGCTACGAAAGCTGAACCTTGCAGAAGTACTAAGTGTTAAGGGTATTTAGAGCACTCCCTTCTGTCCTGGCCTACCTTCACTTTCTCTTACACCTATCTTAATTCTCTTGATTCAAGTGACATCTGCGTTAAACAGAACTGTCACCTTATGCCTTATGTTTTATTAGGTAATCCCATTGTATCTATTATATACATATATATATATGTCTATTAAATTGCTTATCAGAACTCCAGTCTTTGTTTATATACACATATGAACTAATAAAAAAATGTTAACACCTGACTTTAATAAAGAGACTATACATTTTATTGATCTGAGCACCAGGGGAGGCTTCAAGAGTATTAGGTTGAGTTCATAATTCTGCCACTGGCTGCCTACATGGCTTTGGGCAGCTGTTTTAATTTCTTTGCTGAAATTTACACTGAGAGGCAACTGATGTAAGATCTGTGGATGGAGAGAGCTCTATAGTAGATGAGAGTTAATAATTATGCACATACTGGTTCATGTTGAAATAGTAATTAAAGAAAATTTCTCTTTGTAGCCTCTATCAACATCCTCAAGTGAGAAGTCCTTCATCTGGTTTGCTGTACATGAGGATGGCATAAGCATCCTGGATTACAGTTCTATGGTAAGTGAAGTTTCTCTTTTAATTTTGGTCAAAGTAGATTTAACAGAGTGTATGGGGAGATTCATCACTATACTACATAAAAGATGGCATTATCCTTCCATGCTAAGTTATCTTGTCTTTCTCTTAATTCCTTCCTTTCAAAACGATTTAATGTTATCGTCATTATGGTAGCGCTAACAACAGAAATAAGTAATGAATTATTTGCACAGAATTTATTTTTGTTTATACGACACAGTTTTTATATCATTTAATGAAATGTTAATGTTTTAATCATTCAGATGTCAGGAGATCCATAGTTACAGTTCTTACAATAACATTAATTTTCTTTTCCTGGAGACTTCATTTCCCAGTATTATTCATAATACATAGACTCTGCAAAGAGCAGTTACTTTAAAAGATTGTTATTTTCATTGTATTATTTTTGTTTAATAGTAGTTAATATAATCCATGTTATTTAATTATGTCATTTTTGGCTCTGATTTCTCTTTGATTTGCAATACAAGTTTTTGCAGAAAACTCATGGTAATCAGTGAAAAAAAGCAGTGCCTGAGAAGATCCCTCCTTTCATTTATATCCTGCAAAGAAACAGGATGGCACGGTGCTATTAGCAAGTGCTAATATTGAATATCAGAAAATTAAAATCTCAGCTTTACAATTTACTGATAGAGGCCTTTTCATTACAGTTCTTTGCAGTTAAAGAAATAATAAAACAAAGAATATGAGGAGAGCAACCAGCAGCTCTCTATAGGGAATAAGCAAAATGAGTTTGCATTAGACTGCAGAAAGCTCTACAAACACTATCTACTCCTAGAGCTATGGCATTTCTGTAGAGCACTGCCAGTTTACAGCATCAGCAGGCCTTACTTGTTGTTCAAGAAACCCTCAGTTTCCAGGGGTTATTCTGATTTTCTGTAGGAAGGATCAGGGCTATCAGAAATGATGTTACAAGGGGTAGAGAAAATACTATTTCGAAATCAGGGCAAAAAGGGGTTTATTAACCAAAGGACATGCTCAGTTATTGTAAAAATACTGTCTGACAATGAATTTTAAATGTGAACATCTGCAGCAAATTGATATGAGTTGTAATGATAAATTAAATGTTAATCTTAACTTGAAGGCCACTAGTGTGGTTTTACACATTGAACAGTAACAACCAAGGCATGGAAAACTGAGGAGCCTTCAAGAGCATTTATTTTTCATCAGGGATGTTGAAAAAAGAGAACAGAATTCAATTTGCGTGTATGCAAACTACATATTGCTGCACAAAAAGAAGTCCTGGAGTTTAACTCTTTTAGATGTCTCATACTCTGCCATTTATTTAGACACTGCTTTAATTTCAAATGGAATTGCCAAGATTAACTTCTCTCAAACTCAGTCAAGACTTGTGTAAATGCAATTACAGACCTGAGTTGAAACCTGCTTGTATCTTTGATCTAATTAATTTGGAATAGAAACAGAGGTCAAATTTTTGTACAAGAGTTATCATCTGCAATGAAAATCTCTCATCATGAAGGTCTGAATGAAGCTATCCCAAAATTCAGTTAATTTCAAGATTCATAAGAGGCTAACGCCCTCAAAAAATATATGTGTAACTATATTTTTTAAAGAAGAATTTGTCTTAATGTGTTTTACTTGCACTGTCCTGCTTAATAGCTTTTGTGTTTTGTTTTGGGGATTTTCTTTTTTAAGCGATTAACAGTTACATATACATATAAGAGCCTGATGACTTTCGGAGGCTATCAAGATGATTTCATGTTGGTTGTTAACAATGCTCAGACGAAGGACAAAACAACTGAAAAACACCTTTTTGCCATGACAAAACCAAAGGTTGGTATATTACCTGAAACAGTTTCCCACCACCTGCTTTTGTGCTATGTCTAGTGGGTAATCCTTAACAGATGTGAAAGATGAAACACTTTCTTTAATCCAAGCACTGTCAGATTATTGACTTTTGCCAGATGACTTTGGAGTGCAAAACAATTAGTAATGTAAGAGCTAACTGTGGCAATACTGATGTGTTTGTTTTCATGTCCGTTTCTCTAACATTGCAGGTTTTTCACAGAAGGACAAAGAAGGATAATAAGGACAGAAATCACATGCAGTACCTAAAACCTAGTCTGTTTGCTTGATGAGCAACAGAGATAATTTTTTTTAAAGTATGTTTGTGTTCTGCAGTGAAATTGTAGAACACACCATCTGAAAGATCAGTCTTGTAAAAAATCCTAGGATATTTTTACCTTTGGTAAAATGAAATTTTCATGCTTTTAAAATCTAGATTCTCTCCTTCACTGGTAAGATTGACTATATTTCTTTAAAAGAAAAAAAATATTTTGGTGTTGGTCAGAAAAATTTATGAAACAGAATACAAGATTCCACCTATAAATTGGGGTCAAAACATGACTCTTCATAAATAAGCGTAGTAAAATACATCTGTTCAAGTTCCCCTCAGATTGTGCTGTTCCAGAATCACAGAATGGTTTGGGTTGGAAGGAACTTTAAAGATCACCTAGTTCTGCCCCTCCCTACCATGGACAGGGACACCTTCCAATCGCCCAGGTTGTTTGAAGCCTCACTGAGTTGGCCTCGAACACTTCCAGGGGTGGGGCATCCACAGCTTCTCTGAGCAACCTGCTCAGTGTCTCATTAAGGTTTGTATGGATCAAAAAGAGAAAATAGGATAAAAAGCTCTGGGAAGTCTTTATTCCCTTTATCTACTCTGCATCTTGACTTCTCTGAGCACTGGAGATTTTCTGGCAAAACTGAGGGACCACACTGTGAAAGATTTTTCTCAGAGCATCATCCTTTGGACTCAAAGTGAAAGAAGCCATCACTCTGAATCATTTAAGACTGTGAGAGACAAAGTATCTTTGATATGTACTGATGGGAATAACATTACATTATTTGCAAGGAGCAATAGAAAAAAGCTTTATTAGGTATCTCCTCTCTCCCCATCATTAATTTGTAAAGTGCAAGTACTTTTCTAGTTGATGGTGATTGTCACTTGCTAAAAAGTTAGCTATTTTTTCAGCAGTCAAAACACATCACTGTATTTTTCAAAGAGTTTTGTATGTTCCTGTTATAGATTCTTGAGATCACTCTACTGATTGCCAGCTACATTAACAACTTTCATCAGCTGAAAGGAGCTGCTCATCACCTCTCTGCTCCAGCATTACTGGCACCTCAAAGTGGACAGAAACTCAAGGAAATGGGGAGTCAGCCACTTCTGACAATCAACAGACCAACTAAATGTCCCACTTTGTTATGAAAGGATTATGTATCATGATAATCTTCATTAGAGGGTTTCTACACTGATTGAAAACCTTCTGATGTACAAGACATGGAGCATAAGCAGGTCCATAAACAAAAGAAAGGTGGACAGGTTTACATTCATTTCAGTGGCATGTAACAGGAGTAGCCCTTTAATTAAAGCCCTGGCTTGAACTGGAATGATGATGAGCCACTTTAAGGATTATGCTTTACTGGTGGTCACTCGTGCCCACAATTGTTCCCTGGCATTGGGAACAATTGTCTAGATTTTAATAGATTTTTCCAGATATATACTCAGGGACCAAACTCTCTTCAACTCTCTTCAGCTGTTCATCTCTACTTTTCAAAATTATACCAGTTGTATAACCTTCATTTTGAAAAGGAATTTTTGTTTAAAAAAACAGTCAAATACAAAACTATTTCCACTTCCAGAACCATTTTTATTTGCAATACAAGCACCGTGGGACTAAAAAGAATGAATTGTGTGTTATTGTTTCTCCTTTAAAAAAACCCCAAGCATAAGCACATTGTGTAACTATTACAAAAAAGAGTATTCTCATGATACACTCTAGGCTTTGTTATACAGCTATTTTACTTGGCAAATCTTCAGCCTTGGTCAGGTCAATTTCTAAATAAATCCTCTCTGCTCCAGCCTTATGAAAAAATCTAAATTGGATGGGCACTGTATTTAGTACAGTTTTGTTAAACAAGATCCTGTATCTAATTTCTTTAATTCATAATAATAATATAATGCAGATGGCAAGAATGACTCACAATTCAAAACACAAGAATAACACAGAAAACCATTGCTTGAACTGTTGTGAGTAAACCTGGAGACATAAAATCCATGTATAATATGTTTAATGTATATACATTGATTCATAATATTATTTTGTAAAAGTAATGCTTTTTTGTTGTTCATTTGTATTTATACATTTCATATTATAATACAAATATAATGTTCTTGCACACTGAAGACATAATGCTGCATCTGCACTATTGGACCTTGGAGCACTTTCCAGTTGCCTTTTTCAGCTGCAAGCCTCAGCGCTACAGAGGGTCAAATGTATAGAAATTACACACGATTTTTTTTCCTTCCTGTCTTCTTGTTTTCATTTCCATGCAAATAAACTACTTCTGCAGGGTCTGAAATGGATCAGCAGCATACTCCAATAGATAATTTAGGTTCAGCCATAAAGAAGGTATTCAGAATAAATCACTGATTTATACAGATTTTACAGTTTCCACTTCTGCTCATGCTAATAATCATGGATCATTAACCACTTACTGCCAACCCTTACTGGTTTTTGTTTGGTTTTTTTTGATTATTATTGCTTAAAACTGGAGTAATTTCACAACTGAAAATCTCTGGCTTATGATATTTAAATATTTCAGATATTTATACATACATACTCATAGTGAGAGAAAAGGAATTTTCAGCTATTTGCCCTCTGTGAAAGGTAGGGAGTATCCTCCCAAAGAATTCAAACAGACTGGAAGGGAGATACAGGCCATGAAGAGAAAACATGGTCTTAACTGGAAAGGCAAACAGGCAAGCCAACTTGATAAATACATTTCTACAGAAAGCTTTCAAAGGTCTTGCCACAGCTACTTCACTCCACCCACAGGGCTCAGACACCACTTCATGAATGGTACCACGGGCCAACACTTTGTCTTGAAAATTACAACCAAATAACACACATCCTTATCTAGATGCTTTCACAACTGCAAGGTGGAAAGAACTTCCTGGTAACTTCCACTCCTTGGTGGTGATTGTGGCACTAGAACCTTCTCTTTGAATGAGGCAGGGCCAGCAGCAGGAGGTTTACCTCCTCATAGGCAGCCAGTCTCCTGCCATCATCAAGGGAAGCATACTGGGAGCTACAGGAGACCCTGGCACCAACTGCAGCATCATTTTGTGTCACACCCTGTGTGAAGTGGTACTGATACCACAGTGAAATTCATTTAGGAATTAACACCTTTGCCATCAGCAGAATAGTTACATTTCAGATTTGAGGTTGGCAGGGTGTTTACAAATTCAAACAGATGCTACTGCACCACTTAGGTCATAATCTAAAGTTTCTCAAATATGACGACTAGAAACTTTAGTTTACAAACACAAAAGTCTTCATATCATCATGAAATTATGATAACCTAGAATACTCCAACTAGCAATTCTTTTCAGTTTCAAATGATTGTGGCTGATCAGGTTGTGTTATAAGAAGGCAAAAAAAGTGGAGCATTTTGGTAATGAGTTTGTCATGTAATTTTTAAAATCTTTGCTAAATTTTGAGACAACATGATGTGCAACACAAACAGCTGATCTGCAGATTCGAGTTTTTTAAACAGCTTTCATTATCACAGCCTTACAGACAGTTATTTTATAAAGCAGCATACAATCTATGAAGCAGAGTATGACCTTCCTGCCTCCCTCTGGGGAGGTAACTCTAGACACTGCTTTGCTTTTTAGTGTTCAGCTCTTGCTGCTGCAGAAGCAATTCATGCATTAGTTTCCCTCTTTATGGCAGCACTTTCCAGACCTACTACTACCAACTGCTCATTATAGGTCACCATTAATCCTGTACAGCCACATTAGCAGAAATGCTGTGTTAATTTTTATGAAATAAATGCACTCAGAATCACAGTTACCGTGACAACACTGCCTTAAACAATGGAGCTTCTTCCAGGATTTTGATTAGCAAGAGTGAGGTTTCTGTAGTGATAGTAAGCTCAAGCAGACGCTTTCCTTCCAAGAGTCAGCAAGTGGAGTCTCTTACACACGCAAGTACATTTCCAAACAGAGCTGTGCATATCTCAGAGGACTTGCTCCATGTTAATTGAGCTCCAGAGCTACCACACAACACAAGACAGAAAAGCTGAAAATTTCAGAGCCCAGGCAGATAATCTGCCTTCCTGCCTAAGTGTCATGAGTAATCCACATCTCAGTCTTAACCTTGAGCCATCCACCAGAACAATTCATACTGTGCTACCTAATCCATGACTAAAGCCCAGGTGGGAACTAGACCTTTCTCACCTCCTGATCTTCAGCAGTGATGATACTGTAGGAGCTGCCAAATGAGCAGGAACTTCTGGGACTGATGCTGAAGAACTTCCCATTCTCAAGGCTTGCAGAACCCAGGTTGTAAAAATACTGTCAGGATGAGATTAATATGTCACTACATGCAAGGAGACTTCACCTTCTGTCATGAACTTAAGAACACCTTTTGTGCTTGCTTTGAACTAGGAGTCAGAAAGCAATATTTAGAATGCAATGTAAATTAATATGTTACTTGAACTTCACTTTGCTTTGTTAGCTTTTGAGCACCAGTATTAGTAAGAGAACTGCTCATTTCTAAAACAAGCAAGACCCACTTAACCCCTGTAGTACAGCAGGCAAATGATAAAACTTTTGAGTTTTTAATACAATCCACAACATTATTCTTCTTTGTTGTGTTGGATTTATTTTTTAAATAGAAGCTCATATTTCCCTATAACAGAAGGTTATAGGGAAATATGCTGTTGGAGTCCCTGGTCAGACTACCACAGTTTTTATAGGTTGTAATTTTTCCTGAAGGAAAGAAGTCATTCTTGCATAAAGGAATGCAGCACTTAAAGCCTTAGGTAGAGCTTTAATAGTCTGTACAGTTTAGTGCAATCCATTAGCTTGAGTTAACTTTAACTAAAGTGATTAGTAACTCAGTAATAATGAATTAGGAAGAAAAAAATTTGTGTTTTTTGTTGGGTTTTCTAACAGTTTCTTAGGGCAAAAGAAATGAAACTGAGAAAGTTGAAACATAAAATACTGAAAACTCTAATTTAATTTGGGCTCAAATACACTTAATAATTGCACACCCTTACACAGAGCTTCCCAGCTCAAATCTGTGCTGCAGCATCTTCCAGATTTGCCATCTCTATCACTGAGTAAATCACTGTAAAAATGCTTCGCTTTTCAATGTTATACTCTTGCTATTGCAGTAACACCTGCCTAGGTTATAGTGCCAGGAGCGATTCCTACCATAGCTTTGCTATATTTGGCAGAGCAAGACCAGCTTTGTGCAGGGATTTTACTACATCTAGCTGCTGAGTATAGATCAGCATTGGCTTTATAGATATACCAAGATACCAGAAGTGTTCTATTGAACTTAAATTGATGAAAGAAATGCACTTAGAAAGGCATCAGCATGACCTGCACTGTACAATGCTAACCAATGAGGTTTCTTTCTGGATTTTAATTAGCGAGACCATGGTTTCCATAGGAGTTAAGCAAATTCTTTAGAAGATGCATGTAAAAACCTGGAAGTAAATAAACCCAGACTAAAGTCGCCATATGAATGCTTCTGGTACTGAAACTGAGTGATTATGCAAGCTAAATTTAGAAAAAAAAATCTTATGTAAAGAACGGGCATTACTTAGGTCAGTGGAAGGCTATATCAGCCTTCTTTGGGTAGGGAAGAAGGAACAGTTAAAATTAAATCTGAGTTAATCAGTATGAATGAGTCCACTTTTCCTGGTTTTGATCAAACAGATCAAATTCTTTCACTTAGATTTTTCTATCTCTACTCTCTCAAGACACAAAGCAGCTACTCAGCTACAGAAGGTAGCTGTAATTGTTGTTCTGGATTTTGGGGTCACTTCCCTGACGTAGGACATCCTATACCCCTTTCATATTCAGGGTCATCCTGCTGTTTTACTGCACCCTTTAAATTCTACTTACTGATCCAAGCCTAACATGATTTTTAAACTTGATTTTTGATAGATCTTGTTTGAAATAATCTAGCTCCTGTTTGTTACAGCATCTTACTCTGTATGCCCCAGTAGCTACAAAATCACAGAATCCCAGAATGGCTAGGGTTGGAATGGACCACAGTGGGTCATCTGGTCCAACCTCCCTGCTCAAGCAGGGTCATCCTGGGGCACATGGCACACGATTGCATCCAGACAGTTCTTTAATATCTCCAGTGAGGGAGACTCCACAACCTCTATGGGCAATCTGTTCCAGTGCTTGGTCAGCTGCACAGTAAAGAAGTTCTTTCTCATACTCTGGTGGATCTTCCCTGTACTCCTACGCATCTGTTTCTGCCCCTTGCCTCTTGTCCTACTGTTCAGCACCACCGAGAAGGGCCTGGCTCCATCCTTTTGGCACCTCCACTTCAGATACTTACAGACATTGATGGGGTCCCATCTCAATCGTCTCTTCCGGAGGCTGAACAGGCCCAGCTCCCCCAGCCTTTCTTCGGAAGTGAGATTCTCCAGTCTCCCAATCACTCTCGCTGCCCTCCGCTGGGCAATAAAATAATTACACAACAATTATTCTAAGATAATTTCACTTTCTTGTACAGCAGTCCTGTATAGGGGAACTACTCATGTCTCGTTTCATTCCCTCCACTGGCAACAAATCTCACTTACGGACCATGAATAGTTTATCAGGAGCCAGTGCTTAAGGCTGAGCTCAGATAACACTCGCGCCATTTATGACTTGTTTACTCATCCCTGGTTTCCTCCACAGCTGGAGTATTTTGCCCCTTCACGAGAGGGGCTACAGTCGAGCTGTCCTGGGTGCGGCAGGAGGGCGGGGGAGCCCCACAAACTGAGGCAGCCGGGGCGAGCCCAGCGCCGGGGCCGGGCCGGAGTGCCCGCGGAACTACAGCTCCCGGCGCTCCCGGCGCCGTTCCCATGGACACGGCGAGCCGGGCCCGCGCCCCGCCGAGCCATGGCCAAGCCCAGGTACCGCGGAGCCCTGCCCGGGCTCAGTGACGGGGACTCGATCCCACTGCCGCGAGGGGAAGGAGCCGGCGGCTGGGGAGCACAGACTGGGATGGAGAGGGAGGGAAGGAGGGAGGGAGGCGGGCTTAAAACGGGCCGTTCCGGCCTCTGCCCCGAGAGCGAGCGCGGCCGGGGGCAGGAGGGGCACGCCTGGCCCTTGTCCGGTTGCTGCTGTAAGGGACCCACGGGTGAGTGACTCTGAGAGCGGGGGAGTCTTCGTGGCCCCGAGCAGCAGCTTCCCGGGACACCGAGGGCGGGTCCGGAGCCCTCCCGAGCGCACCGAGCCGTGCTCGGCTCCTCCGGGGCCGGCGTGCGGGATGTGCCGCCTCCAGAGGCTGCCAGCCTCCTGCAGGGTCCTGCGGAAAGCCTGAGTCGGCAGAAAACCTTTTAAACGTGCCAGATACCGGAATGGGCTGCCCGGGAAGGCGGCGGTGTGACCGTCTCTGGAGGTGTTTAAAGAAAGGCTGGACGCGGCGCTTGGTGCTATCGTCTGGTTGACAGGGTGGTGTTCGAACATAGGCTGGACTCAGTCTCAGGAGGTCTATTCCAAGCTAATTGATTCTGTGATTAAAAGTACTCAAAGCCTCCCACCGCACAGCGGGTGTTTGCTCTGTGTGTGCCACATAGGGCAGCTGGGGTTACCTGTGGAACGTTAGTCTGGTTTGGTTAAAAGCAGAGGGCATGCGATGTGAAATAACCACAATAACAATATACACCACAATAGCCTTCATTTAGATGTTTTCAGGAATAATGGTTCATACTCTTTCTCTAATTATTCTCCTCTTATTTTTTTTCCAACTAGTGATACTTTGTGGGATCTTGCTATAGCTGAAGTGAAGAAGAGGGCAAACCCTGATGACGATGTCAAGCAGGGGGAAGTTTGCGAAAAATCCATATTATTTATGGGAAACAAAAATGGGGTAACGCTAATTACTGTACAGTTATCCACCTTTCAAACAGATTTTGTGTCAGGGAAAATATTTGGTATTTTCACATGTTGAAGTTCACTTAACTTTAAAGACAAAATATGTCATGGTCTCATTCTGCAGAGAGTGGACATTCCGCACAGTGTGAATTCAAGTTTATGGATAGGGTTATCAATGATGTGCTGGTTCTTTGAGGTTTGGCTTCATTATTTTTTTAAAGTAACTGCCAGAAATAATGCTACTCTCTTTAATTGTTTTCCCTTGTAAAGGTTTAACTGGTAACAATCCAGTTTAAGTGCGTTGATACCATATTTGTTGTAGAGCAAGGCCTTGACATGCCACAATGAACTGGGTCTGTATTATGTCAGACCTAATTGAACATGCTGTATCACTGATTACAAACTCATGATTCCATATACCTGCAGTTGTTTTAACTCATTGTCCCATTAAGTGTCCCATAAGTTTGTCACTGGTAATTTCATATTTTTCTTTGGTTAGCATTTATTTGTAAAGTTAATCAGGAGATATCCACCTTTTCGATGAATTTTTAAGAAGGCCCAGTGTATGTGCAACCTCTTAATCAGCAATTTTAAAATACTTTTTTTCAGAGAAAATACGACTTTTCATATTTACCTGAAATTCACTGATTTTTGAGATGGGAAGTGACACAGTTAACTGTAGAAGTGCTACAGTGTGTCGTGGTAGTCAGTGTCTGAATTTTAACAAAGCAAAGACGTATTTTTCTGTTCTTTATTTGTATTTTAAGCAGTCCTTTTGTTTCCATCTCATTGGTAATCATTAATTCCAGTGGAAACCACACATTATATAAATGTGTTATTAATAATTAAAAACTGTTAAGCAGTTTAAAAGAGTTGGTCAAATTGATCACTAATGTCTAATTTTAAATATGCTGTTCCTATTACTGTATTTTTCATCTCTAAGTTTATGATTATAAAAATGGTAATATAATTTGATTCTCACTGAAAGTTGGAGTTAAGCTTCCACTATAAGGCTACAAACAATTACATGCATTTGCAACTTTCTGGTACTCTATTACTGGAATGTTAAATAACTTGATTTAGTGATACAACTTTTATGCTTTACTGATAGTACAGTAGGGTTCTTCTTTGTTTTTAATTTCCAGGGAAAGACCACTATTATACTGAGGTGTCTTGAGAGGTATGTGTCAAATATTTAAAGGCAGTTTTCACCTGTAGATTAGAATTTTACATGGCAGTTATATTGTGTGATAATTCATACCGTATGCATACAGATGTGTTCTGTAGCTGGTTGGTCACTTATGAATGAGCTTATTTACTTCTTTACTTCTTTACTGCCTGTCATCTGACCCTTTCAGTCCTTCTCCTCCAGTATTGGAGAGCTGAAATGGTCCATCTCTTTAGAGTGGTGCTGCTGCTTCTCCTGTCTTTGGTACCTGAGACCACCTGTCTTGAAGTGTCCTCGCTGTACTGCTGTCTCTAAACCAAATTCCAAACTAACTGATAAATGTAATTTAGTAACTGTAGAATTAACTTCCTTTATTTAGAGGATCTTGACAAAATTAAGGGTTTTTTTCGTTGCATAGGGAAGAGACTCCAAAGCCAACAATAGCCTTGGAATATACCTTTGGAAGAAGGGCAAGGAGACACAACGCAGTCAGTATCCAGGAAGTATAATTTACCATATATACATACATATCTGTATACATATGCATAAAAATAATGTTTGTTTTATTTTTATATATAAGAATCTTAGAGATTTTAGCTTGTCTGTGAAGCAAAAAGGGGGTTTAATATAATTTTATTTAACTAGCTTAATTCTGTGTTTTAATCTGTAATATGTTTTTCCCCCCTCACTAAAACACAGTTCAGAGACCAAATTATAACACAAAGCAATCAGATTTATCTACAAAAACTTGAGTTGTGTTTGAGTGCTTTTACTTGCCCACTGGAACATAGTACGCATGCCTTTAACTTTGTCTTTAACGTACAAAATGAATAAAAACCAATGATGTGAGAGAAACAGTCATCTTGGAGGATGTTAAATAATAATTAAGTGTTTGGGTTATGTCTCGACATTGCTAAACTTTGCACTGCAGATTATGTTAATGGAAATAGTGAACCCATTCCCACCACAGCACAACACTGCTCAGCAGCAATAACTTGCTGCAGGGAATTGCTGTTTCAGATGCTGAAGTGGGGAGTGGAAAACCTGACTCTGAAAGATAAAAATCACTTAAAACTTTTCCCAGAAATTGAATCCAAAGGTACAGATTCGTTACTTTTCCAGTTGCACACTTCTCAAAAAGCATTAGTCTTAAGCTGCAATAAACAAAAAGAAAGTAAAGAGAACCTGATTTATTTATTTTTAACGTTTATCAGTAATCATGTTGCTTCTTTATTTTTATACTTTACAGTAGTCATTTATCAAGACAGTCATAGGCATGCCAGGAGTTTTTCTAAGTGTTATATGGGATTACTTGAACATGGGGAATTTTGGTTTTGGTTTTAGAAAATACTAGTGAAATGTGTTCTTGTTCTGAATCACTTGCATGAAAAGCCTGTTTACCAGATAAAGAATTTTTCTTGCTATTGCATGGAGGCACATGTTTCTAACATTAAGAGACTCTTTTACAGCCTAAAGATGTAGCTCATTTTTGGGAACTAGGTGGTGGAACCTCATTACTGGAACTCATTCGAGTACCAATCACTAGCTACAACGTAAGGTGAGTGTAAATATTACAATTCCAGAGTTAATTTCAGCTTTCCTTCAAACATAAATAAATCTCTAGACCTTTTATTGTGAAAATTTCTTTCAAAATGTAAGATAGAACATTTATGATTTTTTCTAAATATCATTGTAGTACCGCTGATACTTTGATTTTCCTTTTCATGCTTTTCTCCTAATAAACCAAGTTCACAGTAATCTCAACCAAAAAAAAGTGGTAACATGAAGGAAGTAGGTTGGCCCTAAGCACATACAACAAGACATACAGAAAAAGAGAAGACATAATATCTTTATGCTCAGTGAAGGAGCAGAAAAAAGCAACTTGGGGGCATGTGAAAAATAAAATCTTGCTTCCTACTTCTGTATGCAAACATAGATGCTCTTTCTGTGAGAGAGGGTATTTTAAGGTGAAAAACAAGGCAAAAAATTGTGACCAAAAGAATCTTTGGATGTTTTGGAAAGGACCATCTAATGAGAAGATCAAGTAACAGAGAGATGATGTTTCCAAGTGGGACTAGAGCTATTGAACTTTCTTCAAAACTAAAGGAAACAGGAATTTAGATCAAATTAAGAGAATGGAGTGAGAAAAATCCATTAAAATAATGGAATAGCATAGGAAGAAGAAATGCATGAAAAGTTGCATGAAGAAATGAGAGGGTGTTTAGGGGGTGCGTTTTATGGGGGTTTTGGTTAGGGAAGATGGAGTTTAAAGTGGAAGGGGAGAAAAGGATCAGACGATAAGTTTTGTATTATGGTGCATTGCTTTACTTCATTTGTAGTGAGCTTTAGCTTCTGTGGGGAAAAGAAAAGGAGAGATACCATTTTTATCAAGTAGATTTGCTACTGTTTTGGCTATTGAAATAATGCCATTATTTGCTGAGAAACTAAGACAGAATAAAAATAAAACATGACATGTGAGGCTCTTTGTTTCTAGAAGAACTTGGGAGAGAAAAAATTAACTATCATCTTTCAGCCCTTGTAAATTAAATTAACTGATCTTCACCTCCATCAGTCTTTTCTTCCCTTTTTGCTGATGTGAATAATCTTAAGATTCTTTGGTGGGATAGCAACATTCTGTAAGAACAATGAACCTCTCTTCATAAGGCACTATTTTAACATGCTAGGAAAAAAATCCTACCATTTCAACTTAAGTGCTTTTCACTGGCTTTCTCATCTCTCTGCAGTCAAGCAATTTGCTTATTTAAAAGTTCCATGAACTGTATCTAGTTTCATCAAGAGATTTTTCACCAGATTTTTTTCCACCCACAACATTTTAAAGTGAAATTGGACATTCACTTTGCTTTATAGCCTTTCTAATACCACTGTGGTCTGGAATCCCCTTTTTCAAGCCAGGCTGGAATGTGATGGAATGATTGTATCCATTCAAGTGACTGCATTTGTGGTGTTCTTTACAGTTGCACTTTAATGCAGTTAGTGTTTTGGGGAGGCAGCATTTTGGAAGGAAAGGAGATTAGATGTAAGACATTTCTCATTTCCATTTCATATTACAAAAGAATAATGACAGTAGAGAACTTTTCAATATATTAATAGTTAGGAAAGATCCTAACTATTTGCTAACAATGCTTCATCTGGGATTGTAGAGTTATGAGATGGCAGGGATACATGACAGCATAAATGCCTGGTCATACAGGAAGAAGGAGCTAAATGGGGTGAAGATACTTGCATATTTTACTGCTTTAAAAGAATGTTTGATACATGCAATATCCCCATGATCTCTGATGGAAACTTGCCAAAATAATAGTTCTGAAAAAGAGACAAGGGAAAGGTTTCTTCAGAGTGCTGAGTGCCCTTTGAAGCCATCTTCCTTTGCTGTCACATTTAATTCTCTCTCAGCATTTGTTTGTTCACATTTGTAGTACAGTACAGTTTTATATGAAAATGTTGATTGCCTGATGCACTAAATATGTGACCAAATAATGCCTTTTTAATAGGTCCTTTTCTGTAGTGCTTGTATTGGATCTGTCCAAGCCTAATGAACTCTGGGCTACTATGGAGAACCTCCTGCAGGTCACCAGGAACCACGTGAACAAAATTTTAGCCAAACTAGAAAAGACAAATCCTAAAGTAGCTGCTGAACTTAAACAGAGGATGCGGAACAATCTGCAGAGGGATCACCCAGTAAGTTACTTCTAATATTTTCTCCAGATGTCACAGGCCTTTATACAGTTAAAGATAATGCTTTTGAAAATCATAAACAACTCTTTTAGATTTTTATGCATGACTGAAAATCCATTTGATGTAGATGAACCTGTTCACTGGAAAATTATAGCAATTTAATAAAAATTCAATAAGAGCAGAAACAAGGAAAGAAGGTTTCTTATATCTTTTTGTTAGATATCTAATGTGATTGTTATGGCATGTTACACCAATCAAAAGAAATAGTTTTAGAGTAGCAGTTTGCTTTTTTTTCCCCTCATCTTTTTAAAATGAAGATGAAAACTAGAATGTACAAAAGTCATCTAGCAAGAGACTAGCTGAAGGTACAAATTTAAGCAAAGAATATAGTTATAACAGCCATCAACATGACTATATACTTTGCATTTATTTAAATGTCTATCACAAACTCAATGCCTTTTGATAATCTGACAACTAATTAAATTATAAAGTTTCAGAAATGTTAACATCAGTCCTTTAAACATAATTGCTAACTAAATCTCTGGAAAAGCTAAACTAGATTATGCGCAATAGAAATGAAAAGTCATTGTGCATTAAACCTCTGCAAATGTTGTGTGTATATAATGCATAAATAAGTATTCAACAATTCAAAGACTTGGCATGTAAATCTACTTACTGTACCTTCTATAAAATGCTTTAATACAGCAAAAGCATATAAAGCCCAGAAATTTAAAAGTAACTCAAAATTTACGAGAAAGCGACATATGCAACACTCAGTATATTTAGAGGATAGGGTTTGAGATCTGAATTATGATTTTGTTTTTTACTTTTAGAGAGGGTAATATACAAAACCAAAATGCCTACAACCGCATTTGGCAATAAATAATGACCACAGTGTCCAGTTTACACAAAGGGGTTTACATCTCAGAAAACTGCAAGCTTATTGAAATAAAGTAAAAATAATAATGCCATTGATTGTTAAGAAGAGAATTGTTATTCTTGCCCGGCAGAGAAGACAATTATACCTTCTAAACTAGAATTTCTATTTATCTTTCAATGCAAATAAAATTTTTTGTTACTCCTTGGTTCTCTTTTTACTTTCATCATTGTTCGAGGAAAATTTGTGTCAGTTTTCTGGGAGAAAATACTGAGTTTTATAGTCACGTTAAATGGCAGTTTATGCGGATTTTTATTTGCCTTTTTATAGCTAAACATATTTTTATGATAAATGGGAACCGATGAAATTCTTAGATTATATTTTTAAGGATTAGATATATTCCATTGGCTTGGCTAAAGAATTGGCTACGATGATAAAGCGTATCAGTTGCAGACTTTGTTTAAACAGGCTGAATGTACCCAAAGTACTCCATAGTCAAAGATTAATTCCACAGTCAAAAGATGCTTGTTTTAACGTTTCTGACATTATCCTAATTTCTCCTCTCAGTTAAGAAACTAAAACTATTCTTTTCAGTTCTATCTTCTATATACTCAGTTTTAAGTTACAAAAATTTTGCTCAAAGCTCTTGCCTTCACAATGTATGAGTGAAGCCATTATTTTTCCTCTCCAAGAAGAGGATTTTCAGTATGTTCAGCTTCTTTTCAACATCCTGATTGTCATTTAACCTGTATGCAAAATAACTGGTTTTAGAAGATAACAGTTAGGCCAACCTCTGCTACAACACACCTCTTTTCCATTCTGCTGCAATCAAAGCAGCTTGAATAAATAATTTCATGAACACATGAGGGGATTATCTCATATGGACTACAGGAAAACATTAAATATTTTTTAAGAGTTTAGGCAAACATGACGTAGGAAGGAAAAATGTGTGACACAAGCAAATCATTCACTTATTTTTCTTGAGATTTGGTCTGTATTCCTTTAGATATTATGCGAGGAACGTGTCAAAAAGCCATTTCTAGTAATCCAGTCTGGCTGGAATACATGAGGTTCTTCCTCTCTTCCCTTCTCATCTAATGTTGGAGGTGCAGTATATAGTGTAAGAGCCCTTTTATGCCAGTAAGAGTTCTGACTGCTCACAAGGATTATTTCCTGACCATTTATGAAGAAAATGAGAAAACTGTAGAACATCATATGGATATTGCATCAAAGTTTATTCATCAAATTTAACGTTTTGAAAACCTTGTCTTCTGTGAATTAATTTTAACCCATTTCAGTTGTTTTAACAGCTGTAGTCTTCTTCAGTTTGTTTACACTGCTTAACTGTCCTATATCTTTTTAATAGGATTATGAGTTAGTTGACCCTTTTCCAATACCCTTGGTGATAATTGGAAGCAAATATGATATTTTTCATGTAAGTAATACTTAAATAGATTTTAAGTAATTAAAATATTCCTGGTAAACATTCTATACCCTAAAATTTCACTAAGATAATAGTAATCTTTTGAATAAAACTATGACCAGTCAGCATTCTACCACAATATAAAAATATTTCCATCCAAGAGCATTAAGGAAGGCATACTGTCATTCCTTCACAAAACACCCCCAAACTGATAATTTTTGAGATGTGCTTGGAAAATGTTGAGACACAAGTGGCTGCAGACCAAAGAGGGAAGCAAAAAACCAGCATGTTGGTGACTTGCTTTTATAAAGAGAAAAATCCAGCTCTAGGTGTCCCTTCTCACAGCACCTCTAAGTATGTGGCAATGAAAGAGGGGTGTCCCTCAAGTCAGCTGATCAGATCTTTTGGTCATTGTGGCAGCACAAACAGTAAACTATCATTTTGGTCTGGAACTTCTTTTAAAGTACTTTTTAAGTTTTTAGAGACAAGGGAGTAAGTACTTTCATCTTTTATGGGGGAGAGGGAAAAAAAGTCATAGTACTGCTGGATTCTCTTGCAGGATGTAAAAAAATCCAAACAAATGCATCCTCACAGCACTTGATTATGAGAAGCTAGGACAGTATGTTGGGTTTTCAGGTATCGTGCTGGCAGCCTGTGCTTCTCTGGATGACTGCATAGTGCACTGATACCTGGCTGACTCTTGGAGTTACTTAAGTCTTTATTAATAAGGGACTTGCCTTCTCTCATACTGAAGCTTTATGCTGAGCCACAACCTCTTTAAAAGTCAGTGACTCTCATGTAATAAGCACAACTTAACAACCTTGTTCCTTTGGGATCTGTGGACAGACTCGTGCAGGCTTCATTTGGACCATGTTTTCACCCACTTTATCCAGAGAAGGCCACCTGTATGATCTTATATTAAAGCAACATTGATGAAAAGATATATTTATGCACCTTTCAAGTCTGGCAGGTATTATACTTTAAAGAGCATATACCCAAAGATTTACTTAAATATTTTCACAAAAAGAAAAAAATCCTTATTCTTACAGTAGGCAGCATTTCTACTTCTAAAAATTTAAAACAAAATCCAAGTAATTGAAAATTGAACACACATTCCCAATTAAGAAACTTTTTCTGGACTAACATATTGCCTGAATTAGGCTCCCTCTGTAAAAAAGAAACAAAGGGAAATTGTGACATTTCTTTTCAGAGTAGGCTGTTACTGATTCTGTCTTAAGATATAATTATGCTGACAGCTGAAAGCCTCATATATTGTAGACTAAATGCTTTGCAGTTTATACAGAAAAAAAAAAAAGAAAAGTTCTAAATGTAATATTTTGGGATTTGTTTCTTACATATATGTTCCAATATTAACTTTTCCAGGAGTTTGACTCTGAATTGAGGAAAATAATAAGCAAGACACTTCGATTTGTTTCACATTATTATGGAGCATCATTAGTGGTGTGTACCTTCACTTTCTATTTAAGCATAGAGAAGATGAACAGTGTTTCTGTTATAATACAATATTTTTAAAAAATACAAATGTAAAACTCCCAGCGAAAATGGGATTTAATTTGTTTTACAGTAGCTTTCTTCGTAAGGCTACCTGTTAATGAGGTACAGGCACTGGCAGGGGATGGATGGACGTACTTTGTGAACAAACAAGCTACAGTACCCACAAAAACTAAAAATAGTTGTCTGTTAGCCAACTTAGTTCCTGTCTACTGTGTATTTGGCAAATTTATTTTTGGTCCAAGAAAGGAGAACGGGCAAAAGTGATTGTTAAGGCAGAAACATGCATGCTGAGATTCACCATCCAAAAACACTGCCTCCTGGGCCCACTCTGCATCAGAAGATGGGTCTAATTCTATTGACTGTCGTTTAGGAAATAAGTAATACTTAATAGTAGCTTAGTGATTAGCAAAACAACTTATGTTTGCTTTAAATTCTTATAATCACAGCATGTCCTTTTGCATCCATGTATACCCATATAGCCTTTTTTACTTTGATGTGAATTGACATGAATTCATCTATTGTTAACTGAGAATATAACTGTCTTGATTTTTTTTTGAAGTATTTAACCATTTTTGTAATTAAAAATTAAAAATTAGAATCCTAAAACTCTTTGGCTGCTAAATCGTGATTCTCACTGAAATGAGTGGGAGAAAATTAATTTTCCATAATCATTATACTGTTGTTCATTTAATCTTTCTTGATCAATATATTCAATAAGAAATACACTCATATTTTGGAAAGGGAGAGTGAGATGCTTATTCTAGTAAATTCAGTGAACATATACCAGATTTATTGAGGTCAGGACTCAGCAAGGCTCTATCCTCTCTGTAGATGGCATAATTTAATATTTCTATGATGGAAGGTCATAATGTGTATTTTGTTTTCTGATTCATTTAGTTTACCAGTAAATCTGAGGCTCTCCTGCTGAAAGCCCGTGCTCTTATTAATCACTTGGCATTTGGCTATGATAAAAGGTAAGATTATTGTTCAACTCTTAAATGTCTTGCCCAGAGTCTAAAATGACTTAATAAAAATATTTTAATCATTGAAACTTTTTTTTTCTTAAATATGATTTCTGAAAGGTTCTTGTTCATGGACTTGGAGTCCTGTAACTCGACTGCCTATGCCTGCACAGGACAGTGATTGCTCCTTTGTTTGCGATCCCCAAAGCAATGATTTGGTTACCACTAGAATTGAGAACCTTTTTATTTACATGTATTTGTATGCAGAGCCCAGTAAGAGTCTAGTCTTGGCTAGAATTATGTAATCTTGCATTGATTGCTAAATGCTCACTTGATACACTTTTCTTTTTTTCTGTTTAGCAAATCTGTATCAGTGGATCCCAGCAAACCTCTGTTTATACCAGCAGGCCTCGATTCGCTGAGCCAAATAGGTTAGGACATTCCCTGTTCATTGTGTTTGTTGCTTAATTGTTTTGAAAATGAGAAGAACATTTTAACTAGATAAAATAATTATAGCACATCAGTATCAGTTATTGAAGGAAAGGGCTTATAAATTTTAAAATCATGATTCAGTATATTATTGTAATTATTTGTACGGGTTTTTTAGGTAGTTTAATAAAATCTCAGGACTGTGTAAAATACTAAAGTACCAATAAAGTTCAATCTAAAAGAAAATACAATATATGATGCCTCAGCCCTTTTCATGGTAGAAGATCAATGTTTTTTTTCAAGTTGGTTGTATCTTGTCACTGTAGAAGACAAAATACTAAATTAGATGGATCATTATGCAAAATTATTTTATATTTGATGCTGTTGTGAATCCTTAGGACCACCACCTGCCTCTGATAGTGATATTGGAAAGATGCGTGCAAAAACACCTTTGGAACTGTGGAAAAAAGTATTTGAGAAAACGTTTCCTCCCAAGGTAGGTATTTCTTACATGCCAGATGCACAGCTGCTTTTTTTACAGAATAGTAGTAATATCCCTACTGATTTTTTTGTCTTTCAAGTCCACTGACTGGAATTTCAGTCTCACTGAGCAGTTCCCTTTAATCCATTTTTAAAACATACAGATTTGTATGCAGTGATGCTTTGATTATGAGCTTCTACATCTTCAGTCATCTGTCTACATTTAGTAGTTAGGAAGATGCCATTCTCCATATAAGATGCCCTGATAAGATACAGACTAAACTTTACTTTTCAGAAACTATACAGAACTGTTATTTTTTAACATTGTTTTTCCTCATAGCATTTAAAAACACAGTAAACAAATATCTCTTCCCCCTAATAATGTCTGAACTCCCTCTGAAACAGCTGGAGAAATGAATACACTTCTCACCTTGCAAACTCTATCAGTGTTCATTGGTGTATCAGTCTAATTAAAGATTTAAACATTTGCCAAATAGATTCCCAGTCTTCTGTTTTGGTTCCAAAGTATGCTTGAAACTCTAAAGCTGTTTTTATGCATTGTAAATTACTTTTCCCATTGCCTCATCTAAGAAGTATAATTCTGCTTTATTTGATTCCATGATTGGTGTGATTGCCTTCTTGCCATTTTCCATTTGTTATAAATAAGGAGAAATGTGCAGGACAACATTTAAAAAAACCCACCTCTTTATTTGATAGTGTTTCTTTCTATTAGTTTATTTGCTTCTTTGGAATTAAAGTTATAGTTCCCTCAAGGTTAGTAAACGAAAATTCAGATATTTGGTAAAAAGATAGTAATCAATTTCTCAGCTATTGAAGTAAGGCTTCTGATAACCAGAACAAAGTTCCAGTCATGAATATTAAATACTTTAGCAAGAGCAACCTCAACTATGCCCAAATGTCACGGGCCAGAAAAGGTATTTTCATTTTGAGGTTTGAGAATAATAAACAACTACCAAATAAGTATATTATATTCTCTTCTTTAAGATCTAGCTGCAGTATTACTTCTTCATCATTTTACTAATAGAAGAGCTCTTTTAACTAATCTGTGTCCTGTAGCACAAAATTCTTCCATAAATGCAAGCTTTTAATATTTTCATATTAAAAGCAAATACCTCCATTGGATCTACAGTGTGGCATTTTCTTATTAAAAGAACAGAAGATAGATTCTATGATTTGGGTTGTTGTCTTTTCTTCTTTTAGAGTTCCTGTGATTTACAAGATGCCAAGAACCCTGCACAGGATAGACAGTACGCTGAGTGTGAAATTGATATCATGAGAGCTGAGAAAGACCAGGTGTGTGGTAATTCTCCAATTGCTGTTCACAGTCAGGTATTCCAGAACCACCAGCATTGCTGAACTAATTGTAGAATATATTTGTATTCCCCTTTTTGCCTTTAAATAACTTAAGCTTTAGATTTCAGCTTAGGTTGTGTGTTTGGGTTTTTTTCCAATGGTAGATATTAAGCTGGTAGAGCATTGTCAGATCTCAAAGCTTTTGGCTTTAATTTTCTTTAGAAATTAATCATTCAAATTTTCCCTCTGTTTTCTGGAATTACTTCACTAAAATAATACTGAAGCAAAACTTCAAAGCTTTCTTGGCAGTCCTTTCTTCGTTTCTGCACCCTGTACTCTCATTTGGGTGTTCACTAACAGAAAGTCTAGGAAGCAATATCAAGGTCTGGGGTGGGGACTGTTTACTTTTTTTTTTTCTGTTAACCACATGGTTTAACCTCTGAATTCCAGGGGAGACCTTTAGCGGGGAAAGGGTCTTTTATTTTTTTCTTATTAATGTTGAGGTATTTCTGCATTTCTCTAGATTAGTGGTGAATTACTTTTATAGAAAAATTCTGTGGCAAACTAGATGAAGGTTAAAGCACTGCCTTATAGCCATCAGTATATAACAACATCTGAGGAGCAATACTGTGTGTAATAGTCTTCATCCATATCCCAGGAACGGGTCTGTTAAAATGAATCCAAGATTTATCCAAAGAATAAAGCAGTTTCAAGAGTTTTCTGCAGCCTTTGAACTTGCACATTACCTGTAATATCCTGCTAATGTAGGCATCAGTTCTGAATTTCCATTACATCAAGTGCAGTCTTAAAAATCACTAAAATCTCTAAAGCCCTCTTCCTTTGGAATTTATAATACAATCTCATACTCAGTATATCTACATATCTGAAAATAGCTATATGGTGTACTAGGTTTGTTATTTTTAGATAATAATGTCTTGCAAAAGAGGATACTGGTATGCGTTGATTAAATCATAGAGGAAATTATTAATTTTCTAGTTTTAAACAAAAGAGACTGGCTTTTAGAATCTTAATCTGTTCAAGGGCATTGCAAACCAGTGTAGCTTCTTTTAGTTGGACTAAGACAAGTAATTTGAGCATTAAAGAGAAAATTACTTTTGTTATCTGCAGCTATTTCCTAAGTTTCTCTATCACGGAGTTCAATTTTTACAAGATTATTTGCACATTATTAAATGTTTTATACTCCCAAGAATTTGAAATGTGCCAAGATAGAAATGTACATCTAAAAGAAAAGAACTCTCTAACTGCAGTGGTTTTTGAAGTGTCTTTGTATTTCCCAGTTCAATGAAAAGTGGCACAAAAATCCTGGTTTTAAAGCAGCATTTTAAATGCTTCATAAGTCTGACATTCTTTATAGAGTCTCATGGTATCTGTTGTAGGAGGAACAGTATATTAATATGTTTAATATGCAACATGTTGCTAATGAAATCATGGGACATAATGCAAAATTAAAGTTTCATGTGATAACAGCGGATGTTTTCATGTTATCATTTTTCTCGGTTACTTTCGGTTAATTAATATGTTACTTTGGACTCCAAGTGATAACCAGTTTGCTTGTTTATCTCAAAGATAAGCTTCAAAAGAAAAATAAACACAAAACCAGCAACGAAAACAAAATACAGCCTCCGTCACTGCGTCTGATAGTAGAACCAGAATACCTGACTGACTTGTCAGGATTGCTCAATAATACTGTAACAGATTAAGCTTTGTATTGCCACAGTTATCTCTAAAAGAAGTAATTTCCAAATCTGTAACCATGGTTGAAGGGTTTACCTGAATTCCAGCAGAGTAAAAGGTTGAATTCTTGAGGATAAAGTTAGAAAGAAGTTTTTTTAAAGAAAAGTACAGAACCGAGAAAAGTACCCAGGTACTCGTTGTCAGCAAGTACTTATCTGAGATGCTTTTTGGCTGTAGAAGTTTAGAGTTCAGCTTATCAGAATTCAGCCTCAACAGTGTTTTCTTTTAGACCAGATTATTTTGCCTCCTTAATATTTCCAGATTTGACTATGATACATGCCACTCTCTTTCTAAACGTTTTTGCTCTGGAAAGCTCTCTGAGGCCTTTCTTCAAGATGGAGCACATCTCTCTTTCTCAGCTATGCCTTTTCAGAATTCTCTTCCTAGGTCTTGCCCCACAGACATACATAGCACAGGTTTACATCAAATCATGCTGTTGCAATTGTTTACTGCCTTTTTATTCTCTGCAGTTAAACTCTGAGAGAGAGAATACAGCACCAGGGACCCTTTTGGAATTTACATTTCTAATGTAATTCTTAACTTGCAGATTCTCTCAAGGATTTACTGGACTTTTTTGCTCTTTGCACAGGGCTTTCAAGATTCAAGAAAAACATTCATTTTGCATAGTTACTAGGCCATTAATGTCTAGCTTTTGGTTAACTCTTCATCCATAAACAACATGGGAAACTTGTCATCCGTTTCTCTCCATTCCGTCGTAGCTTTTTGGCTTTTGATGCCTTCAGGTCACATTAATTTCATTTTTGGTACACACATAACTTGAACAAGAGTGAGATCTTTAAAAATAATATTGTTGATCAGAGCTACACTTACACCACCTATATCTGTAAGCACCTGTGCGGGCATGAAAGTCTTGTTCCTTAGTTCCTTCTAAATGTTTGTGGCAGTGAAATGGCACATGGGGATGTCTGCTCTGTTTCCTTTGGAAATGCTCTGTGTCACAGATATAAGTTTTCTAAGATGTCTTTTAGGAGGTTTTTCTTTGTTTCCTGTTATACCTTCACTGCTAATACCCAAAATAGGTACTTGGACCTTTCTGATCTGGACATTTGACTGCAGCTTCATTCATTGATGCAACTGATAAAGCCAACCTTGAGCTCAAAAAACTGCAGAGCCTGCACAGGTAATTAGGTCATCCAGTGCCAAAGTTCACACTGACTGATCCTTGTTACACAGAGCTATTACTTAGGGATTGGTGCCAGTTTTAGCTGAAGCCTCATGCCATTGAAGTATACTCCAAAAAAGTAGATACCTGGTGCCATTTGGTGTGAGCTAACAAGAAGTAATGGCAGCAGATCTTAAAGGACAGGGTGGTAACTCTTAAGACTTTAACAAGGCATGAATTCAAGAAGGTTCTACCCCATCTCACAAGGAAGAATAGACTTATTTCCCCTAAAAGTGGAGGGACCTAATTAACCATGTCACTCAGCTAAATGTCACCTCTGTGTCAGATCTGCAGCAGTCTGTCTGAGACGGGGACTGGACCGGCCAATAGAATGAGAACCAGGTTTTTTTGGCATACTTTGATGACATGGACATAGTGCTGAACTTAAGGAGACAATTTCAGTCTTATTCAATGAAACAGAAGATTGCATACTGTGCCATGAACCTCCTTGGTCAGATCAGTGTTACTGGACAGAAAAGCATGACAGACACCTAGTTTAACCTGGGTGTTAACCTAGTTTAACATGGGTGTTAACCTAGTTTAACCACCTTTCTTTTTCTCTTCTTAATGTGTGAAGAAAAAGTAATTTAGGATGTTTACTCAACTACCAAGAACAAGATTTCTTGTTTTCACATGAAAACATGTCCAAAGGGGTAAAAAAGATTTCATTTTTAAACCAATCTAAAAAGCACCAGGTGCTGAAGATTTTTAATCAGTATTTCAGTACTTGGTTGTTTTCACCATGCTCCAGATTGAGGGCAGTTCTAGTAAGAAGCTGCATGAAAAGTAAAGTTAAAGCCGTATCAGTCACTCAGAACTGAGGAAATGCAACAATTAAGGCTTTTCCTACAATCTTAATTTTTCCTTGTTTGTAGACATTACGATATTGTCTTTAATTACATGATCATATACTATTTTGCTGATGTCTCAACTCAATTGTTCAGTATTTCTTTTCATCATCCTTATTCTTTATGTACCTTATTTCTCAACCTGCCATTCAGACACTTCAATGAACACAAAAGTATTAATTTTTTTTTCTCTGAGAATGTGTGGTAATGTTATCTTATCTGAGTGCCTCACAAACATCATTTAAGTCTTTCTTCCCAATCCCTTTATGAGATTAGGTGTGATCTTCCCCATTTGACAGATGAAGAATTTACAGACACACAGAAGTACAGAAGCATTAAGGTTTAAAAAAAAATTTAAATCCACTTTATGCCAGTGTTGAGACATCTGTGATAATTTGCTAGCACTAATAATGTTTGAACACTCAGAACACTCTGAAAGCACATTTAAATTGCAATTGTTATTTCTTCGTAAATCTGATCTCTGCCCCCTATACTTACTGCCCACAAATCAAACATATCATAATGCTAGCATGAAGATTTTGGAGCACTTTAACATATATTATTTTAAAGGACCTTCTTTCACTTTGGAGAGAAGATCTCTTAGCTGATTGCATCATTGCAGTATATTCCACAATTCTGCTTATGTTTGTAGTATAGAACTTTCTGAGCAGGAAGGTGCCCTTTTCCAAGAGGGTCTCTCGAGTGATCTTTAAACGGTATTTGAAAGATTTTTCCATTACATTTCTGACTTATGGGGATGTATTTTACTTTCTGTTTTGCACATAAACTAAGAAACTGTGCTTTCCTGGCAGCGTTTTTCCTCCTGAATCACTGAGATTTGTTAAAGATTATTTTTTCTGGTAAATATCCTCCTATTCAATCCAATTTTCTTTTTCTTTCATTTCTCATCGTTTAAATGTTGGCCTTATCTAGATAAACATCCAAACCAAATTTTTATAATTTTGTTCTGTAATTCTCTCTGTAATGGAATAGCTGTACAATCTTAATATATGCTGTGGTTTGACAATTTGCATTTTTGTATTGCTTTGAATTAACTTTACACTGAATTGCTTTCTAGGCTAGCTAAAATTACAGCAAAATAAATTCTGCTAAATTATCTGCCTCTCTCTTGAAGTAGTTTAGTCAGATGATAAGTCTGTAAGGCTAATTATTTAGCCAACACCTGTAGACATGACCCCCAGACAGCATTGTCGTTATATGTAAAACTTCACTGTCTAATTTTACCCCTTCCTGAAGCCTTTGAGAAAGTTGTTACAATTGAAATTACTTACTTAGCATAAAGCAGGTTACACGTGCTCCTTAAAATATCACAGTATTCTTTCTATTCCTAACTGCTGGCAAGTTTCCAACAGATCTGTATGTTCCAAGATCAAAATTGCTTTATATTATTAGTAAGGGAGTAAAAATACTGAGTAAAGACCAGCTTAGGGAGAGAACAGCTCGGTACTACTGGAGTTGTATCTAATAATGTGACTTACTAGATTTAGACTAGACACAGTATGTTCTAAAGTAACTATTGAGTTAAAAACCTGTCAAATTAGACTCCTGCAAGCATCAGGAAGACTGTGCACTAACTAAAAATCTTCTTACTGCTCATACATCTGTGGTGTTTTCTGAAAACTTTGCACTGACAAAGCTGCTAAAGTTATTTCCTGAGAGAAAATTCCATTTATTATTTTCATACAATCTTAAGATGATTGATTGCTCTTTGTTGCCTTTATTTTCTTCTTCCTCCCTCTGTGCTCTGGATTAAGAGTTAATACTAATATTAAATTCACCAGGTGGGAATTTTGTTATTTTTGTCAGTTCTGGTACCTGCATACCTACAACCAGACCTCCCTTCCTCCATCATATTAAAATACTCTATTAAATATAGAATTCTATATATAAATATAGTCTATTCTATTACAATCAAAATAATGATCATAAAATACATGTCCACTTTTGAGGGTCTGCACTACATTTATTCTAATCACTGGTTTATGTCCACCTCTTTGCCGATCTAAGTAAAATGTGGTGACTTTTCTTGTCTTGCAAGCACTACCTGCTTAGATCTAGCAGTACCTTATTAGAGCATCATCTTCCTGCAAATAACGTTGGAAGCCTTATTCTTAAATGAATGAAAAGCTTCCTTAATTAATTTTTTTTTGCTTAAAAAACAATCTTCAGAAAGAATTCCTGACAGAAAGAATTCCACTACATAAAACTCAGCAGAGGAAAACTGTTGTTTGGTAACGTTGGGTTTGCAACTCCCTACGTGAGAGCAAATGTGGCAAAATTTATAGCACTTTTAGTATCATTTTTTTAAATATGAATGTAGTACATTTTTTCTACATTGAAAAGTTTTTATACATACATTACCCAATTAAAAATTTAAATTTCTTGCAATTTTTAATAATGAGAACATTAGTTTAATATGTATTTATGTTTCTGTTTTAGGAACTTGAACAGTACAGAAGAAATGCCTCTAAATCCTGGAAAGAAATGGATTTTGACTCTGATTGATGAGCTGCTATAGGTGTCTTCAGTTTAACAACATTTACAAAATTTTTCTAACATTACACTAGCAATTTCATCTGAGGCATTTGAAAATACATATTATCAAACTACAAAATTAGTATTTATTAAGCATCCCTGGTGATATTTTTCATAAAAGAGCTGTTCATTCAGTCCAAATTCGTGTATCTCAGCACTGACACAGTTTTAAAAAGTTTTTAAAAGTTTTAAAAGTCAAGAATTCTAGATTGTTCACAGGTGGATTTGAACATTAGGACTGGCATTAGTCAGTTCAACCTGTTTTAGAACACATTATTTGTTTTATTTTTAAATATTTCTGCCCTAAACATGTATTTGAATATAAACAAATTTTCACATCCAAAATATGAAACTGTGTAGTAGAGTGTGGTGGGCATCTTTTTCTTGTTCTTTGCCTATATAAGTAAAAAGCACATTTTAAGAAATGCCTGGTTCATTTTTTTATATATTTGAATAAATAAATAAAAACCTGGCAGAATAAAGTGTATAACATTCTTTGACCTCGATCCAGATCTGTTTCAGAATCATATAGCTTAATACAGGAATTATTTCTTGCAAAGTATAATGTTGTAATAACTTTGCACAGAGTTTAGAAGATGGACATTTCTGTCATATAGTCAAATGCTAGAAGTCATCTAATTAATTTGACAGATATTTGGGTAGTGCTGGAACTATTATTGATTGACATTCAGCCTAAGCTTGTGAAATGGTAGCTTCAACTAGGTATGGGTTTTGTCCATGGATACCCTCCCTAGTATGAGATGGACTGAGTGTTTTGGGAATACACAAGACAACCTAAAATAAAGCCAGAGGTGTCTTTTGAGAGTTAAGACTATCATATAAAGCTAACTACGTAATTATGGAATTTTAAGATACAAATATACTTGAAGAAATCTCTAGCGATCCCTCTGCAAAAAAGAATTTCTTCACTGAACATGCAAATAAGTTACAAAATTTAGGAATTCTGTGTCTCTTGTGCTTTCAGTTTTGAGAGGCCTACAAGAATAATTTCTGAAGACAAAAATGACATTGCTACAATTTTATACTTTTCTCTAGTTAAATTGACATTTTATTAAACAAAAACAAAACATGATTAAACAAATTTGTTTTCTAGTAATTCACAAACTGCTTTCAAAACAAGATTTAGAACTTGAAAGAAGATATACATATAAATAACTGTGTTCACTGATTCACCATCATTCACAAGGCAAAAACACGTTGGATAACTTTGATACTGCTTCAAGATCTGCACTTATTGGTTGTATAGTGTGTGTAAGATTAAAGTGGAGTGACTGCATTCTGTCTTGACACATATTTGGTTTGTTTCCTTTCTACAAATCCATAAAATGGTATCAAAGCATAGGACTTAAAAATACTAAGTCCTCAGAAATGAGATTTACTAGCAGTTGTACTCCTCTGCTTTTTGGTAATAGTCAAAAACCAAAATAATGAGGAAAAAAAATTAGTGCACCATTGCTACATTGTTAGAAATTGTCAGCAACAGCTAACAAAATTAAATTTAAAAAGTGCTTTAAAACATGAAATACTGTTGATTATGGCTGATCTGGGAGAGGAGTGGGAATACCAATATCTGAAAGCCATTCAAACTCCTAAGACAACATTGTTTCTCAAACATGAGATGAATGTTTAATCACTTAAATACTATCTAAAATCCAATAATTTAAGCCTTTGGTCATGATAAAGTTACAAGTGTAGCATTAGACATCATTGGAGGTCCTACTTTTTTATTGCCTGTCAATAATTCTCTCTCTTATTTTGAAGCTTATAATTGCTATAATGGCAAGTACTGGTAGAAAAGCATAAAGTATTAGGAAATCGATTGTGAACCGGGACGAGGCACCAGGGAAGTTTTTCTCAATGAACTGAATGCCTTGAGAGAAGATACATGCAGCATTATTTGCAGTGGAACTGTTGGCTCCACCTGTCAAAATAAACAAATCGTTTCTTCAGTAGATAAGTCAGTAAAATTAAAACTCAGACTTCATTATCAATCCCATGCGTTTAATACACCCAGCCCTGATATAATTTCAATGATTAACTATACCCACATCAGTAATTGTCAGCACTTTGGAATAAGAACAGACAAGCCATATGTTTCTGCAGTTAATCTATGCCACACTTTTTGAAGGGAAGAACACAGGGTCACTAGGAGCTCTGTCTTTTGTTTATGCCAAACAAAGATTTATGGCTTTTCAGGCACATTATCTGGAAGGGCCTCGAGAAGAAATGTGCCCCATGAGGTAGACTTAGAGGGTTCAGATGTGTTGAGTGGTTCCAAAATGCAAGAAATGGTGACTGCCTGAAGGGCACATCAAAACCAAGCTGTTCGTTAGTACTAACAAGTCATGGATTCATTTTCTAGCGGTTGCTATTTTTGCTCTTGTAATAAAGAGGGGCAAGAGAGACTACTGGGTACAGAATATATGGCCTTGGAGAGGAGCAGAGAGACCTGGCTACAAAGCCCCAAATATCTTAGGAAGGTCCAAAGCTGTAAGTTTTATCCCCATTAATGGATGTTAGCTACTAACACTGACAACCTGATTGATTCTGATGTTTTGCTGCTTATCTTGCTCACAACCAGCAAAGCACAGCGCTCAATATGTACCATGGTAACATATACTTGAACTGAAGCCTCACTAGTATTAGAGGAAATGTGGTCAGGTGTTACCTGTCAGTACTCCCTGCAGTGATGTTTGATCTTATATTTTGCAATTCTACTCATGTTCTGTTTGTGTAACACTGCTCTGCAAAACTTTGCAGCCTGTTACAAACTTAGCTTCCAAAATGCCCCCAAAGACAGGATAAGAGAACAGGTGAAGAAGATGAAGAACTGGGAAAGAAGGAGAAATGGTTGGAACAAAAGAATCAAACTCTGGTCTGGCTTGCTGATGGTGCATTATAGTCTTTAGTAATTAATTTAGCAATTAATAAGCTTTTTTTAACAACTCAAAAGTTACCTTTATTTTATCAGGATACATGTATGTAGAAGGAAAATAAGCTTCAACACCTCATTAAAATTATTTATAATGGACTTCTTTTTTTGAACACTTACCACATGTGAAGTTTAGGCCATAAAATTCATTGACTATAAGAATTTCACTGCTGTATTTTTGAAAGGTAAGAAAACCGAGCAGTTTAAAAGGTGTTGGCATTTCTTCGATGGTCCTTAAAGAAACAGAGAAGTTAAACTGGCTTTTGCTACATTCCAAGAGCCCCCAAATTAAAACAAGCTCTCATCATTGGTTTTAGCCTGTGACAGAAACAGTTCTTGTCTGTACCTATAGGTTTTTCAAACATAAAGTCCATTTTTAGGGTTAAGTGAGAAGACAACCATGAAGGCTGTCTCTGGCTTTGGTGCAGTGTCATAACATTCAGCCCTGACGTGTTTACGGACAGTCACAAATAATTCTCTGGTTGGTTGCTGTTCACACTGCAGTGATAAACTGAAAATGACAAGACCCAGTATAAACCTTAGTTGCCAAAATGTATTTCTTCCAGAGTAAGAAACCACCACCCCCTCCCTCCATCTTCAAAACCAAAAAAGATTGAATAGCAATTCACTGGAGCAATAATAACAAAACAAGAATGAAGCAAAAAAAATGAGGAGAAACATTTAGAAAGACTGGGCAATTCCAGCACCTAAAATACTTCAAGACTTTATAATTATAAAAAACCAAACTAACAGAATAAAACCCAGCAACCCAAGTCTCAATGCTATTTTTAACATCCTTCATTGCCTATGAAGATTAATCAAAAATATTAATTAGCATTGTCTCTACTGTAAAATAAGTTTAAAAACCATTCTAATGCTTTTAAAAGTTATCATTAAGGCATTAGACTGTGGTAGCAGGAATAGTCGTCTTGTCACTATAAACATACAACTTCCTGAAATTAGGCAGGGACCAAAAAAATTAGGCATTAACCTAGCTTTATTTGATAAGTATTAACTGGGATCTACTTTGAAGAGACAAAGCATCATCAACTTTGTAAAGACTCATGGTTTTCTTGAGGAAAACTTGACACCATTAGGCTTTCTTCATTTTCACTGGGAGGGACTCAGGTGAGCATCTCTTACTTGCTCTAAACTAAAGGAAACTTTGTTTGACAATTACACATTTACTCTGGTTAAATTCTTCAAAAAACCCCAGTAATTTCACTATTGACAAACACAAGGGGAAAAATGTTCAAACTTCATGCAATTACAATGTAAAACCATTTATGTGCACAGTAATAGAGCAAGTGGATCACAAATTTCCCACATATTTACTACACTACGTTTTTATTTATCATTTTTATTCAGTTCAATCTGCACAGGTAGAAAAAGTGACTGAAAAGTTTACTGGCCAAACTGGAGAATAACACTAGTAAGATAGGTGAGAACAACTGCTTTTTTAAACCATCACTACCAGTGTTTAGTGTCTGATAAGTTTCAGCAGGTACTAAAAGCTGTAGGAATGGTTTCCTTGGTAGGCTGCGTTAATGAGGACAGCATTTCACATCATAATGTCAGCATCAGTGAAAGAATTCAGGTGAGCTAATAGATATTAATTGTCCCATTTTATCTTCCATTTGTTTGCAAACAGTGGGGGAAATCTTCAATATCCTTGTTGATATCTAAAGATACTAAGTGTCTCGCTTGTGTACTTGGTACAATGTCTAACAGGATTAGGTAGTTCTACCTCTGAAGGAGCACAGTTGCACTTGCTTTCCATTACGACCTCTGCATTATTGGATTTCTGCACTACAGAATGTTCAGAAAACTCTTCTTTAGGTAGTTCATTTTAACAGTAACACTATAAAAAAAGAAGATTTTTTTTCTTACCTTACTAGTCCTGTTCCCACTATCACACCAGCTGAATTAAGTAGCACCACTCCACTTTGGACTATATTTGGGTTTTGAACCACGCCGAGTATAACTAGTGTGAGTAGTTCACCAATTATATGAGACGCTAGAACAGCAGCAAAGAAAATTCCAAATCTGGAAGCATCAGGATACAACCCTGTAGTCCTGTACGAAAATGAGAGAAACAACATTTAGAAAACAAGGTTTGGGTACTAAACTTGGAAAGTTTAGTATTTTTGTCTCTGTTTTTGTTTTTTTGCAGTTACATCTCCTTAAGTAAACAGTTTATGCCTTAACCCTTAGTGTGTTGTTTGGAATCTTAACATAAAGGACATGCACTTAATATTGTGATGTAAGTGCAGATATATTAGGTTTCCTCCAATTAGATTAAAGAGGGTTATGCAAAGATGTAATTGTTGTAGAAACCCATGTTGTTTCAAGACAACCACCATGGCTTTTACAATTCCTTAAATTAACATCCTTCTCCTTTTAGAGTCTCTGCAGTGGGAGTTATTCATGTAAGTCACATATTTAAAGAGCATCTTTATGCAGATAATTAACAGATGGGATTTTGCACTTCTGACACTGTGCATGCAAATGTAAATATGGATATAGTAAATTAAAAGGAAGGCTAATTAATTTGCCACCCATGTAATTCTTATAATTGGAATTTCCTCCATACTCCTGCATTCTTTAATAGAACATGCTGTTCCCAGTTTTCCCCTATCTAATCAAAGGGAAAGAGTCCTCTCAATCTGTACTAAAGATTAAAAAGTTAAAAAGGGCCAGCAATTGCTTGGTATGCTTAATTCAGCCTCATAGTGTATATGACAGATGACAAAACCTTTTATTACATGGTGAAATAATACTCTTTTTCCAAAATAGGTCGTACCAAAATTGCCTTACACTAGGTGCACGCTGCATGCTTTGCTTAGCTAACAAGCAGCAATTCCACATTTAATTTTCTTTTCCTGTTGCTCAGTGCAAGGCCCTGTAACTTGTTTTATATCCACCATGTTTGAATACGGTCTTAAAATAGAAGTAATAATTTTCTCCCAGGTTTTCCTGTAGTGTTTGTCTTAACACCAGAATAACTTATAAATAGACGGA